ATACGTGATTCCTTACCATCCGCCTACATACACTGTGTCTTATGTATCCATCCTAAACACAAATGCATTCATACTACGCGCACTCATCCTTGTGTATGTATTCATGTTCACATCTATGCACTCATCATACTTACACTATCTCTCTGACTCTAGGGTGTCCGGGGTTACCATCTCATCAGTTCCTTCTGTTGTACTGAGTAAATCCTTAATCAGGTTTTTTTTTTAGTTTTGATTTGTTTTAAAAAGGTTTTGTTTAACCAGTTTTTGGATGTCTTTATTGCTATCTACCTTTAAACATTTGTTTGCAGTAATTTGTTGTTTGCGTTTTAGAAAATACTCCTCAATGGGTTTCCTCTCCAATTTATATTTAGTGCAGTTTATTATATAATGCTCTATTGTATTATCTTGAAAGCAGTCCAGACATAGTGGAGATGTAAATTTCTCGGGATGCCACCCTAACCTAGCTCTCCATAGTAGTTTATTAGCTGGAATTTTCAGTTTGTCCCGTACCTGTGTGTTAAGGCTGGGCTCTTTGAGGTTGTTGTAGGCATCTCTGCCATTATTGCTCCCTTGTCATTGTAGTTTCCACATTTAAATTATATGTCGTTTGATTATGCTGGTCCTTTCAGTTTTTCCGAGTCCTACATCTACTAAAACATCACATTTTGCTCCCTTTTTGGCTGCTATGTCAGCTTTTTCATTGCCTATTACACTTCTGTGTGCTGGTACCCATGCAATGGTGACTTGGCATCCTTTATTCTTGAGCTGAGTTGTTAGATTTAGGATTGTCTCTTTAATATCTGGTCTACTGCTAGTTTTATGTGTTTTTAACGTCTGCACCGAGGACAATGAATCTGTCAGTATGGTGAATTTAGTTGGAGGTTTATTAACTACCATCTCTAGTGCCTTCATTATGCCGACTAGTTCTGCTGTGCATACTGCCACATGTTCTGTTATTTTATATTATCTTTGTATATTCCACTGTGGGATTATTACTACTGCTCCTACTTCTCCTGCTTCATTCTTAGATCCGTCAGTGTATGCAACCATATTGTCTGATCGGATCTGGTCTATGTATTCTTCTGTTATTGCTTTGGCTTCAAATGTTTCAGTATTCTTATTAATAATTTTCATCAGACTCATGTCTGTCCTGGGCAGCTCTAGTCTCCATGGAGGGATTTGAGGGACAAACCTAACGCTTGCCTCTAGAGTCCTAGCTAAGTCCTCATCATCGTTAATTTCTAGTGCAGCGTCCCAGGCTGCTGGTCTCTGTATGTCTCTGACCGGTCTGTCACCTAGGTGGGTAATGTTATGATGAAAAGCGTCTGAAGCTGGGTGTCTGGCATCGTTGGCCGCTTTCATCCAATAGCTATAAGTTAGTTGTTTCCTTCTGAGGTTGAGCGGTGTGATGCCTAGTGCTACCTCCATGGCCTCTCTCGATGTCCCTTTGCCAACGCCCATGATGGAAGTCAGGGCTTTGCACTGAATCCTATCAAGTTTGCATTTGCTGTTCTCTGATGCTTATTCGTATACTATGCTTCCGTATTCCATTTTGCCCCTAACGAAAGCTTTATAAAATTGTATTAGGGTGTCCTGGTGTGCTCCCCATCCGTTTCCTTTAATCATTCTCAGCATATTATTGTACTTTGTACACTTTACTACGAGATCATCTGTGTGCTTAGCCCAGGTCATTTGCTCATCCAGAATAATTCCTAGAAATTTCGTCGAACGTGTCCGCTGAACTGTTCTACCATTAATTTGGAGTCTCGTTACTTCTGGGTCATAATTAAGCTGTCTTTTAAAGTTGAATATCATGCTTACTGTTTTGTCGACGTTGATTTTAAATCCCCATTTTCCCATCCGATGCGCAACTTCATCTATATTATGGCTGTGGTAGATTGCACAATCGTCCGCAAATTGAGTTAGTCCTGTGTCCTTGTTCGTGATGGCATCATCAAGGTCGTTTACTAATATACTGAACAGGGTAGGGGATATTACAGCACCCTGAGGGATTCCATTCACTTGATCAAAAGTTTGTGATCTTTCGTTATTAACTAGTACTGAAAATGTTCTTTCTTGTAGAAAGCTTCGGATATATCTATAGGTTCTTCCAGTAAATCTTAGTTTAGCTGCTTTAAACAAGGCTGCTGGCCGATAACACTGGTCATATGCCTGTTCCAGATCCAGGAACACTGCCATTGTCTTACCTCCTGTTTTAAATGACTTTTTAAGATGGTCTTCTAATTTTATAATTTGATCTAGGGTGCATCTGTTAGATCTGAACCCTGCCTGAGTTTTGCTAAACAGGTAATTTTTCTCCATGTGGAATGTTATTCTTTTATTGACGATTGTTTCTAATATTTTCCCCAGGTGGGATGTTAAAGATATTGGTCTATATGAGTCTACTTTTTGAGGGTCCTTATTAGCCTTTTTAATAGGTATGATAGTTGCTTCCTTCCATCTTCTTGGAATCTCTCCCTCTTTCCAGATCTCATTGTAGAAATCAGTAATCTGTTTAACGGTTTTTGCTGGTAGCGTTTTCAGTATAGTATAGTTTAGAATATCGGCCCCAGCTGCCGTGTTAGATTTGGCGTGTATTGCTGAGTTAACTTCTTCAGTAGTTATATCTGCATCTGGGTATGAATTTTCTTCCTTAATTGTGATTTTAGTTGCCCTAATCTCTTTATTAAGAGCCGTTCTGTTTTTCCGTTCTTGTTGATTTAGTTTATTATTGGAACAGATCTCAGAAGTGCTGTCCGAAGATATCTGCCTTGTCTTTATTTGTAATTGCCACTGTGGGTACCTGAATTGTAGGGATCCTTTCTCTTATTTTGTCTCCTTTAATGACTTTAATCTGGTTCCACACTTCAGTTGTTGGAGTATCAGGGTTCAATTTTTGGCAGAATGTCCTCCAGTGCGCCTCCTTAGCTTTGCGAATGACTTTGGTAGTTGCATTTCTGTGTTTAACATATTCTTGCCATCTTTCTGTTGACCCGAATTTTCTATAGTCCTGCAGAGCCCTTTTACGTTTATCTGTTGCCTCAATGCATTCTTACGTCCATCATGCAACAGGATTCTTATTTACGTTTCTTTTATTGTTGTTAGTTAAAGTCTTATTTCCTCCCTCAAGAAGATGGGTAGGCATGTTTTTATTTGGAATATTTCTTGTTGCTACCTTTAGTATTGTATTAGTCATTCTTTCAGCAAAAGTATCAATGTTTTCACCTTCTGCTCTAACCAACTCTGTATTATTAAGTTCATCTATAACTGTATCCCATTTCGCTTTTTAAAAATTGAAAGTAGGTTTGTTACTAGTTTCATATTTTGTTGGTTGGGTTTTAATTCTCGTTAAAATTGGAAGATGGTCGCTTGAAGTGTCCTCTAAAACTTTCCATTGGCTTCCAGCTAAACTCTGAGTTACTATTGTAAGCCGAATGTCTATTTCCTGGAATTGGATTGATCCTTGTTATCGACTAGTCATTGAGTACTGTTAGTTGATTATCTTCAATAAATTCTAATAGTTCTTTTCCTGCCAGACTTTCTATTCTGCCACCCCATTCTTGGTCTGTCCGGTCTGTGTTAGTCTCCTTATTTCGTTCCTCATATCGTCCATTTTCTTTTTCATCCAATCGCGTTCCCCAGTAAGGTCCTGCACTGTCTTCCTCAGTTTGTTCCTTTCCGTTGATACTTTACCCAGCATTGTATAGAAATCTGGGGAAGGTGGGGTGGGTACCACAGTTGGCTGGGGAGTAGCCAAGGGAGTTGGGATATATGCCACAGCAAGGTGGTGAGTGGCAGACGGGGGTGGGGTGTGTGCCACACTAGGGTGGGAAGTGACAGAGGGAGTTGGGGTGGGTGGCACATCAGTGTCTGAGTCAGTGTCAGAATCAGAAGGGGTGGGTGATGCAGGGGGAGGGTGAGACTGCGTGGGTTCGAGGTTCGGGAGCCTTGCTTCTTCCGTGGGGGTTAGACTGGGTGGACTGCTGACCTCCTCAGCGCTACGTCTTTTAGTTCCTTGGTCCAATTCCTTATCATTAAACCGACACATGTTGGACTTTATTAGCAGGTGGCAGAGGATCACTGGCAGACAAGAAGAAGAAACAAGCTCATCAAATCAGCCACCTTTAGAAGCTGCCTGCAAGTTTGCAAACCTATCAGTGCTGCTTTTTATTAGTTGATTACATGTACAGGAATCACGGCAGTGGTATGGTGGTAAATACGCCTGTCTGTCGCGGCAATTGTCCGGTTCAATCTCTAGCAGATGCAAAGTTCGTTTCTAACCAGTAAGGCTCTGCCACTGGCCCAGCCTCATAAACATGGATAGCTGGCAAGTTTTCAGAATGTTCTGAGATTTGTCTTGGAAGGACAGCTGACAAGAAGGGGGACGGTGCGCCCCCTGCCATGAAACGAGGACTAATACTTCTAAGTTCCAGCGGCATTTTGATAGATACATTCACAGAAGGCCTTGTAGACATAACACGCAACTCTCTCTCTCTCAAACATTTTATACTGATATACACGAGAAGACTGATTTGTATGCCATATGTTTTCGTAATGGGAAATGTCGCAAGATTTTGAGTACCCCATCTATTGACTCCTCGAGACGATTTATGCGAGCCTCTGTTGTCCACTTTAAGAAGAAACATATTTTTTTTTCTCCTAATTTCGTGTACTGTCTCGTCCAACATCTAAATAGTGTTTCAAACTGACTAAATGACTGGGGTAAACATGCTCAGTTGCGGGTAGGGAAGCTAGATTTGTACATGCACTGAGACCGGAGACTCACATTTTCTGTCAGGTGATGTTAGAACTAATAGAAGTGGCGTGTAAGGAAACACTAGACGAATAGTTATACTGAAGACATCACATGACACATAGCTATTCTACACAAATGGCAAGACATTTCACACAGTGGAAGATTGTAATCACCAGATGTACTTCATGGGAGACATGGGAAAAGGACAAACCTAACCTATATACACTTTTTTTTTCTCTGAAGGATGATTGATGTTGCAGGCCAGAGAAGTTTACGTAAGAAGTGGATACATTTTTTCACCGAAGTTACGGCTGTATCTTTCTTTGTCTCTCTGACGGCGGTTGATGAGATTTTGGAAGAAGATCCTACAATGGTGAGTATTATTTACATAATTTCTCTAAATACTGACACTGTCCGCTAGCGAAGTGTTTTACGTGAAAATGCTATTATTTATCGACTCTTTTCAACAAGCTTTGATTTAGGCTTCGTATTTAAAGGAGATAGGGAAGAGGGAGAGATAGACAGACAGGCAGACAGAGTGGACAGCATGAGATCCAGAGTGAATGGCAAATCTTCCAGTGCAAATTATTGTCCCACCTTTGCGGGGGTGGGCGGTGTGAAAAGGGGGAATTCATTGCAGCAAGAGAATGACAAGTAAATTGTTTTGTTACTTTTGCCTAAATGACATTGAATACATCAGTGTCTACATCCCGTTATGGACGGACGACGGCTTGTGGGGCTCACATCATGGAATAAAGCCCAAGGAAATGAGCCATGTAAAGGACACTTCCCTAGGCCTTCAGGGTTTTTAGACCTATATTTTATAGACGAAACGACACTTGTTAGGTGATGTGGTCAGCATCAGTCAGGCCGCCTTTATTTCTCAGGACTGTACCTGGTACCCACTTAAGACTAGGAGCAAAGGTACTTTTTGAAAGAAATCCCGCCCGCATCAGGACCCGAGCCCACGACTTTCCGATCTGGATGCAAGCGTCTAGCTGCTAGGCCACGGCGGCTCCCTGAGCCAATCGGCCAGATGTATCATCCGTCGTGATTGCGCTGTGTTTATTATTGCAGATCCTCAATATAATTTATCATCTGGCTCCCACTATTCCTTTATTTCTTTAGTCGGAGCATATTTTAAAAGTAATTTTAGGCAGACAACTGTAGCTGATAATGCATAATTCTTCCTCTTCAGCATTCCTAGCCCTTAAGGTTCATTGCTGCAGATATCACCCGCCTCCATTCATCTCTCTGGCTGGCTGTAATCAAGCCCGTTCTGTTTGAGTTTGCAGAAAGTCAGCGTTTTTCGTTTCTTGGTCCACAGAATTCTACGAATCTTTGGGTTGTGATTTAGTCAGCCTCACATAATTTCAGAATTCATATTTAACATTGTAATAATATATATTTTACTATTTGTCAGCCTGAATGTGTTGTTATTATGGCGTTAAGCAGAACTATGCGACATTCAGCAGAATGCCAGCAGCTGAGAGTGAGTCATCAATTGAACAAACAACTCCGAATGAGCACGGCTTTATTGATTACTGTTACTCTCACACACAGAGTGAAAGTCAGCATGCTTTAACAGTGACAGTGTATATGTGAATATGTCTCTGAACAGATGAACTGATATGTTTCTGACAGAACAGTTTACAAGACAGTCTGCAAGCTTTCAATGAAGTCAGCCACAACCAGTTCCTGGAGAAGACTGACTTCATTCTGTTCCTCAACAAGAAAGACTTATTTGCCAACAAGCTGAAGTCCACTTCATTATCTGTTTGTTTCCCTGAGTATCAAGGTCAGTGCCCAGAACAGTTGTCAGGAATGCTCCTTAACGTTTTGCTTATATCTTCAGGTTTACCGATGGTCTCTTTATCAGCGATGTACTTTTCTTTTCGTATCATGTTTTACAAATTGTAAACTTCTCTAGTTCCATGTTTTAGTTTTGTTACTCGCAGATATTATGTTTTCATTTGTATTTTCCCAAGTTCGACGTTTTAGTCTGTTATTCTCAAATTTCATGCTTTCAATCGTAAACTTCACAAGTTCCATGTTTTAGTATGTTATTCCCAGAGACAGTGGTACCTTGGTGTATGTCATTAATCCGTTCCTGATCCTTGGACTTATACAGAACATTTCTCCATCAGAAATAGAGGGACAATGATTAATCCCTTCCCATGATGGAAAAAATCCGAATATTATTGGCACATTATACACTGACTGGGTTGTATAAAACAATTTATATTTTGCCTAATACTAAAATATACAAAAACAAAAGCAGTAGGATGAAAAAATGTAACTCACTTGACCTTCCTGAGAAGAGTTGTGTGCCGACTAGGATGGTACTGAGATAGAAGGAGGAGAAGGGATGTTATTGTTTGCAATGAGAGTCCCCCTTCATTAAAACTTCATGAATATGAAATTATGATGTTTTTTCTCTTTAATTCTTTAATTTTTGTTTCTTCTGTGTCTTTTCCCAACTTGGTCCTGGTTGAGGCTAACGGGTAGTCACTAAAAATCAGCAAACCTTCACTTGTTTTCTTCGCAGGATGCTTTGGTAATCTGACATTGGTCATTCCAGACTATGCTGTTAGGCTTGTTTGGGCTTTGTTGGGGTGACAGTTCTTTGCAAAATCATTGACATCTATCCATGAAACTGTCTCGAGAGAGAGGTAAACAAAGATAGCCTACAGTGTCATGATTAGTTCTGCTCATACAAGTTTGTATTCCAAACAAAGGTCGCTTACCAAGCAAATGTGTTTATAGCTGTTGTTCTGCCCGTCAATGTGGCCAAACCATCTATCAAGGTGTTTGACTTTTATTTATCAGAAATTATCTCTACAGACATACATCTCTACATCGTTTTATTGTTAGCATTCACCACTTCTTGACTTTAGTATTGTTCCAGAATTTAAGTGCATATCCATTTTACAGATCTGGTTTATTTGTACGCAGACTTTTGGTTCTTTGCTTCTCAGGCAGATGTACTCTGACTTCAAAGACAACAGCCCTAATTAGTTAACTTGTAAGTCATGCTTGCTAGAAGGGCAGTGGGTCTATTCTGTTCCCCCCCCCCCCACCCCACCAACAATGGACCTCAGAACCCACTTGGGGAACACACATATGTGATCTCATTGTGCAATGTAGTGTTTAAAAACTTGATCGTAGTTATGGTTAAGGTATATTTGTCATTAACGGGTAGTCAAGATTCATATATTTCAATGTATATTTGTCATTAACGGGTATTCAAGATTTATGTGTCTCACTGTATATTTGTCATTAACGGGTAGTCAAGATTCATGTATCTCAATGTATATTTGTCATTAACGGGTAGTCAAAATTCATGTATCTCACATGTATATTTGTCATTAACGGGTAGTCAAGATTCATGTATCTCACTGTATATTTGTCATTAACCTCAGAACCTCATGGACCTCAGAACCCACTTGGGGAACACACATATGTGATCTTATTGTGCAATGAAGTGTTTAAAAACTTGATCAGTTATGGTTAAGGTATATTTGTCATTAACGGGTAGTCAAGATTCATGTATCTCAATGTATATTTGTCATTAACGGGTATTCAAGATTTAGATTTAGTCAAGATTCATGTATCTCAATGTATATTTGTCATTAACGGGTAGTCAAGATTCATGTATCTCACTGTATGTTTGTCATTAACGGGTAGTCAAGATTTATGTATCTCACTGTATATTTGTCATTAACGGGTAGTCAAGATTCATGTGTCTCACTGTATTCATGTATCATGTGTCTCACTGTATGTTTGTCATTAAAGGGTAGTCAAGATTTATGTGTCTCACTGTATGTCATTAACGGGTAGTCAAGATTCATGTATCTCAATGTATATTTGTCATTAACGGGTATTCAAGATTTATGTATCTCACTGTATATTTGTCATTAACGGGTAGTCAAGATTCATGTATCTCAATGTATATTTGTCATTAACGGGTAGTCAAGATTTATGTGTCTCACTGTATGTTTGTCATTAACGGGTAGTCAAGATTCTCATGTATCTCAAGATGTATATTTGTCATTAACCAGGTAGTCAGATTTATGTATCTCACTGTATGTGGATTTGTCTCAGAAGTCACTTGGGGTATGTTTGTCATTAACATAGGTGTTCATTCTCATGTGTATTTGCAATTCGAGGTAGTGTTGTATCTCAAAAACTTGAGGGTAGTCAGTTCATGTATAAATGGTATATTTTCATGTCATTAACGGGTAGTCAAGATTCATGTATCTCAATGTATATTTGTCATTAACGAGTAGTCAAGATTCATGTATCTCAATGTATATTTGTCATTAACGGGTATTCAAGATTTAGATGTATCTCAATGTATATTTGTCATTAACAGGTAGTCAAGATTTATGTATCTCAATGTATATTTGTCATTAACAGGTAGTCAAGATTCATGTATCTCAATGTATATTTGTCATTCATAGGTAGTCAAGATTCATGTATCTCAATGTATATTTGTCATTCGCAGGTAGTCAAGATTCATGTATCTCAATGTATATTTGTCATTCGTAGGTAGTCAAGATTTATGTATCTCAATGTATATTTGTCATTCGCAGGTAGTCAAGACATGGATTCATGTCTGAATTACATCAGAGATCAGTTTGCCAACAACAAACCCAAAAACAAACAAATGTACTGGCACAACTGCTGTGCCATCAACGTGCCCATGATGAAAGAACTTCTGGGATGTGTTGTCGACCTGATTATTGATATTAACATTAGGAAGTCTAGCCACATTTAAGTGTTGTTTCTACAAATGGACATTTTAAATGACCTGCCACTGACTGCTATACTATACTGTTTGGTTATACTGTGCAGAAAATTGTCTTCTATAATATAACTTACAATATCCAAATATATTTATATCCTTTTCATGTCGGTGTTGATACATAAGGCAATCACACGTAATTTCCGCTGCTGCCCATCTGCCTACAGTATCCCATGTCATGTTACACTCCTTTCTTTCTCTTTAAACTTTTCTTCTTCAGGTTTCCTTAGGTCCCCTTATCTCATTTTTCCATCTGCCGGCCACTGGAGATCTGTCCTTGTCAAAGTGGCATGAGACATTATGCCCAAGACATCTTCTTCCTATGATAAAGTTTGCCCATGATGAAGATTTTGTTCTCCTTCTCAGATCTTCACCTGTGATCTTGTCTGACCAAAGAGTTATTTATTTACACATAAATATTACCAAATATATGATACTGTCTTTACAACATCCAATGCAATATATCTCTGTTGTTGAAGGTTAAACAAGATTCTTACATGTTGAGAGACAGCCAGTTTTAACAGATGGCTGTCAATCTTGAATCAGTTTTTTTTTTAAATTGCCCTGAGACCTCAGAGCTGTTGTTTTACAGAATGCTGAAAATTTCCTATACAGCTAAAATGAGTAATCTAAATGTTTTGAGCCTAAGACACGAAGATAACTTATTACAGACATTAGAAAGAGGTCACAATAATTTCTGGTCACGTTATTTAAAAAAAAAAAAAAAAAGCTGAAACAAGAGACAAATGGAAGAAAGCAACTGCTTTGATAAATATCTGCATGCAGTGGATCAACACAAATGACTGTGTTTTACATTAGCAAAAGATTCATTCACATAATCCCAATCTGTCATGATAAATGGTGATTGAAACAGCAGAAGTTCCAAATAAAAAACCCCAATCTGGCTTTGTTTATTTAGTGCATATAACAGCAGAAGTTCCATATAAATAACTCAATCTATTGTAACAAATTAGTGATTCTAACAGCAGAAGTCCCATACTTATTAAATAAGCCCAATCTATCACAACAAATGAGCGATTTAACATCAGAAGTTCCTTTCAAATACCCCAATCATTCTTAATAAATAAGTGATGGTAATAATGGCACAAGTTTTCACTGATAAACCCCAATCCAATCTATAATAAATAGGTGACTGTAACAGCAACAGTTTAATCCAAATAACCCTAAACAATAACAAATGAGCGATTGTAACAGTGAAAGTTTCATACAAATAATGCCAGTCTATCATTTTTTATAGGGTGAGTTAATATATAAAAGATTAGATTAGACTAAGATATTCATGTTGTTACCTTATGTAACTGGTAGGTTAATGCTTTCTTGTTCTTGCTGTTGTAAAATGATGAATTGTTTGTACGTGGATTTAGCTATTTAGTGATTATTAAAGAGAGGCAAGCAATCATGTTCTGTTACACTGTGGTCATGTCAGAATGTTGCTGCTGAGTCTTATCATTTGCAACTGTGACAAAAAAACTGACATGACAAAGGTAGTTATTTTATAAATATATATAGTGTTAAATAATTTCTTACAAAGTGAATGTTCTCAACATCCTTATCTGATTTATTAGTTTGGAAATTATTGCTTTTTCTGTTTCTTGTATATGTTAAACATCCAATACATCATAGCAGGATTGGAAAGTTCTATTTAAAGTTATCCCAAAGCATTGTCTGGCTCTCTACATCTATGCTCATGTAGTTCTTTACCATGACCTTGTCTTGTCTTCAATTCTGGGTTCATGCAATGTTGTGTGTACCCAGGCTGCCATGGATTCTAGCTTTCTGATTAGTCTCAATACTCATTTACATGAAGTCAACCGTGCATGCTTTCTCAGTGAGTACGCTCAGGAAGTTCGAGATAGGCTGGTCCAAATACATTAGTTAGAGTCTCTTAAGCGGTCGGGGCTGACAAATAGTTTCATATTCGTGCCAGGGCATGCAGGTGTGCAAGGAAACGAGCAAGCTGATTTGCTTGCAGGTAAAGCTACTGTGGAGGGTGGATGCGCCATGGACCATGCTGGTATTCTGAATGATCTACAAGAAGTAAGACGTTTGTGAAAACCAAGTGGTGACTGTGAATCTGCAACCATGACTAGACTGCAAGAATAATATGTTAAGAGAGGTGCAGCCAGACAAGACCATAGGGCAGGAAGCCAAAGAAGAAACCAACACAGAACAAGTGTTGTGAGTTGCTACACTCTGTAGGGTTTACTAGGCAGGGACCCAAGCCCGTATGGACTGAATGGTTTCATGTGCAGTGAGATAATCTGTCGACTAACCAACTTACAGGAAGTAAAGATTATATATCATTCTCTAGCCTGTGTAGGTTCCGGGGCCCCATTGTGGGGAAAACAAGAACAGACCCACTACTTCCCTAATAAGCATGTCGTAAGAGTCAACTAATTATAGGTTTCCTTCAAAGGTGGAGTACATCTGCATGAGAAGCAAAAACCAACACTCTGCATACATTTAAGCCAGATCTGTAAAGTGGATGTGCACACAAAACTCAAGTTTTGGGGAAAACTGAAGTCCAGACGTGGACGAATAATCAGAACTTTCTGCCAGTTTACAGCCAGTAAACGTAAAGAAGATATCATAATATTTAACTATTTTTCAAAACTAATTACAAATTATGAGCCCTGAAATTAAAACAGGACTGACAGAGAATTTCATAAGCTTCTGCAAATCATACTAGTGAATGATGGTGCTAGGAAAGAAACTGTATACAAGCCCAGGCCAAAAATGCATCTTTTGTTTTTTTTTTAAATCCATGAAATGCTGAACCAGAAGACCTTGATCAATCCTTCTTTGTATGTCTCATTCTCTCATGCATTTATGTGTGTGTGTGTGAATTTTACCAGTCTTTTAAATTTCCACTAAACAAGTGATTAGTGAGGACTATTATCGCAGCCACTGCTGCCTTCCACTAGACTGAGAATCAGCTGTACACACACTGTTACTGACTCACAGAGTATGTTGAGAAAGGTGGAGACAGGCATACTCCATGAAGAGTGGTAAGAATTAGGGCTGTACCGAATATTTGCTTCGTATTCGCTTCGGGCCGAATAGTGGACCTAATAACTATTCGGTATTCGGCCGAATAGTTGCGGTCGGGCCGAATACGAATAGTGGTTACCTTACACACGTTTCTGGACTGGTGGGAAATGAACATATCAAGATTGCCAACCTTGGTTCATACTGTCAAGCGTTACTTTGTGCACCATATACGAGTGTACCAAGTGAACGTCTGTTTAGCACAGCTGGAAATACCTTTAGTGAGACAAGAAGCTGCCTTAATGCTGACAACATGGAACGATTGTGGGTGTGTGTGTGTATGTTTTTTTTTTTTTGGGAAAGCTAATGCTTTCTTGCTTGCTACATACATCCAGTTTTAACATATGGCTGTGAATCCTGGACAATCGGTAGGCAGGTCAAACAATTTCTTGAGGCCTCATAGGTGTGGTTTTACAGAACAATGCTTAAAATACCTTAGACAGGGCAGAAAAAAGCAACCAAGAGGTTTTAAAAAGAGGCGGGAGCCCGAAGACAACTACTCACAGACATCAGAAGGAGACAGTCATCATTTTTCGAATCTGGAAAGATCTGTGGAAGGAGGGATAGAGGAAGACAACGAGAGAAGATTCTTGACAGTCTTGTTGCTTGGCATGGAGGTGTGTCAGCACACGAACTAATACATGCTGCCGGAGATCGCAGATTGTGGCAAGGCATAATCGCCCATGACAGTCAGCAAAGCACCTGATGATGATGATTCACTATTCGTATTCGTATTCGGCCAAATAGTTGATACAGCTATTCGTATTCGGCCGATTAGTGAAAATCACTATTCGGTACAGCCCTAGTAAGAATCACTTCAGAGGTTTCGCGGGTAGTTAGCGTCATTTGAAAATTTTTTCTCCAGGTTATGCTGGTGTGTAGGGAAACGAGCAGGCGGCAGGCAGATAGACTGGCCAGTTCTACACCACTTGGGGCAAACAGATGTATGACAAGCTAGACGTTGTGGGGGCCCTCTGGAAGCGAGTGAACAGCGCAGAGGCACAAAAAAGATCACAACAGTTTGATGAGAATGGCGCTGCAGAGATTTACTAAGGCATCTGGCCGACGCTCAACACTCAAGGGAAGGGCGAGGCGAACCTACAATTGTACCATTGGAAGTGGAAATCTTTGTTTGCTGCTGAAGATGGGGGAAGGGAGTGCGTATGGGAGTGTCCCGAGTGCTATGATATCGTTTTAAGAATCGATAAATATTCTCAAAAGATCCATAAGCATAAAACTACTGATCATGCCCATTTTTCATTAAACAAGAAAATATTAAATATTTTCTGATTTTAAAAAAAAAAAAGGACTCAATTTCACACCCATAAGCATGTTGGGCATATAGGGCTAGAATAATATTTTTAGGAGGAATGAGCACTCATAGGTGATGTGCTCAACATCACACCTGCCATCTTTACTTTCCATGACTTGACCTCTGGTACCCATTTCAGGCTGGGTTGACCTAGGAGCCGAGGTCATTTCTGAATCATGTCATTTATCCCCAGTGAGTCTACACACAAATAAACAAACAAAAATTACACAAGTCACATGCTTCACAATTCATGAGATCATCTGAAGTTTCACTTAAGATTTATAATTCACGTCTGAAAAAATCAGTGTGCAGATCATTTGATGGGACAGAGACACTGGACTTTATCACTGCAGTCATAATTATCCAAGCAAACAATATGACACCTACTACTCTCAAGTTATTCTTCTGTGTAACATCTGATTATGCTGCATTATTAAATAGAGACAAATGTTCTTGACAGCACTCTAAAACATTAGTATATTTCAACCATTCTGACACAACATTTTCCCCTCCCATGTGAGTTCCAGGGCAGAATCAGGGTTAAAATAAACATGTCCACTGCTCTCTAACAAGCTTGTCTTAAAAGGCAAATGATCAGGAGTTTACTGATATTACAGCGTAGCTGTAAACCAAAAATAAAGTGCTAACCGCCCTATTAAAGGCAAACACAGAAGAAGAAGACACACTAACATTTTGTTAATCATTAGAACATCAGGATTCAACCATTACCTACATAGGGTTGAAAGGACCTTTATTAGAGTTCACTATTTCCCAATGTTAGAGACAAGAAGTTACAACCTGGGGCCACTACTTGCAAATGTTAGAGACAAGAAGTTACAACCTGGGGCCACTACTTGCAAATGTTAGAGACAAGAAGTTACAACCTGGGGCCACTACTTGCAAATGTTAGAGACAAGAAGTTACTACCTGGGGACTGCTTCTTTCAAATGTTAGAGACAAGAAGTTACTATCTGGGGACTGCTAGTTTCAAACGTTAGAGAAAGAAGTTACTACCTGGGGACTGCTACTTTCAAACGTTAGAGACAAGAAGTTACTACCTGGGGACAGCCACTTGCAAAAACATTAGAGACAAGAAGGGGAGCTGCTTCTTTCACTATCTGGGGACTGCTAGTTTCAAACGTTAGAGAAAGAAGTTACTACCTGGGGACTGCTACTTTCAAACGTTAGAGACAAGAAGTTACTACCTGGGGACAGCCACTTGCAAACATTAGAGACAAGAAGTTACTATCTGGGGACTGCTAGTTTCAAACGTTAGAGAAAGAAGTTACTACCTGGGGACTGCTACTTTCAAACGTTAGAGACAAGAAGTTACTACCTGGGGACAGCCACTTGCAAACATTAGAGACAAGAAGTTACTATCTGGGGACTGCTAGTTTCAAACGTTAGAGAAAGAAGTTACTACCTGGGGACTGCTACTTTCAAACGTTAGAGACAAGAAGTTACTACCTGGGGACAGCCACTTGCAAACATTAGAGACAAGAAGTTACTATCTGGGGACTGCTAGTTTCAAACGTTAGAGAAAGAATTTACTACCTGGGGACTGCTACTTTCAAATGTTAGAGACAAGAAGTTACTACCTGGGGACCAGATCAAATTGTGTGTTTTGCTGACTGAGGACACTTTGTATGGCTCTGGCATTCACTTGAAATATCCAGCGTATCTCACTCAGTTTGTGACTGGAATCACTGGCATTGACGGTTGAGCAATTTTTGGCCAAGCTCGTTTGCTGTGATGCTGGAACCATAGCGACTAACTAACTAGCAAGGTTGATAAGTTTGAGTGAGGAGAGGAGTGGGTCAAAGTGTCCAAACAAGTTTAAGACTTGTCTTGGGTTCTAATCACTTTAGGTTGTGAGTGAGGGACTAGCCAGCTTGTGCTGCAAAATCAGAAGTTCAACAAATGATTCATGACAATTCCCGCCCAAGTGATGTGATTATCTATAGAGATGGATTTGTGTTGAGGGGCAGACGAAGTGCATGGGGTTTCATAGCAAAGACGAATGGACATCACTAAGTGCAGCAAAGCTGTGCATATGATATCACGTCTAGTTTGAGAAAGGAGGTGAAGGCAGTCTCTGCTGCCTTCCGCTTGCTTGAGAATCAGCTGTACACACATGCCATGATTGTAACTGACTCACAGAGCATGTTGAGAAAGGTGAAAACAGGCATGCCTTGTGCAGAGGTCCCTGGTAATAAGCATCCTTTGGATATTTTCTCCAGGTCATGCCGTGTGTCTGCAAAACTTAGTGGTGAACTGATGTATGACAAGTTAGAAATTGTGAGGGCTCTTTGGGAGCTAGTGAACAGTGCAGAGGCGCAGATAGATCATCACGGTCTAAGGAGAATGGCGCTGCAAGGAGTTACCAGGGGATCTGGCCGACGCTCAAGACTCGGGGAAAGATGAGATGGATATACAATCAGACGGTTACTGGTACCATCGGAATCAGAAATCTCTTCGCTTGCTGCTGAAGATGGAGTCTGAGCACTTATGGGAGTGTCCCAGTGCTGTAATGTTGATTCTTAATTCAACATTCTTGATTGATAACTAGTCTAATTTTCTGAGCTGATTCTTTTAAGAGAGTCAGTGTTTCAACAGTATCTAGTTCATTTTCTCCAACGATATCAATGTCATCTGCATATCCAAGTATTCTTGTAGATTCTCCTACAGTACATTCTTGTTTAAATTTTTTTTCTCCAGGGCCAATTTGAAAAAAAGTGGGGACAGAGCATCCCCTTGCTTTAAACCAGATGTTATTTGAAAAGGGTCTGACTTTCTGCCTTTATATATTACTATATTACAAGTGTCTTCCATACTATAGTTTGGTCATGTTAATTAACTTCTTTGGTATTCCAAAGTCCTTCACAGCATTCCATAAACTGTTTCTATGTACACTATTATACACCTTTTTAAAATCCACAAAAACCTGATGTACATCTCTTTTATATTCAATTTTGATCTGCTATTTGCTGTAAAATGAATATCTGGTCTATTGTTGATCTGTTCTGTTGGAAACTTGCTTTATGTCTTCGACGTATGGTTTTAACCTTTTTAGCAGTCCCGCCGATAGTATCTTTTAGCCTGTAGATAACAGTGATATTCTCTATAATTTTCACACATACTTGTCTTCTTTCTTAAAAATGAGTATTAATAAAGACACTTTCCATTCATGGGGTAATTTCTCTGTCTTCCAAACTAGATTTATTAATTTATAAATCTTTACATGTAATGCATGACCACCTTCTTCTTTAAGTTCAGCTGCAAATTCCATCAGCACCAGTTACTTTATTGTTGTGGACTACGACTTCCAAATGTTTGAGATGAGAGAACAGTACCTAGGGACCACTACTTGCACTTATAACATTACCTGGGGACCACTCAAATGTTTGAGACAATAAAACCTGGGACCACACTTGTTTCTCATTACCTGGGGACTAATACTTGCAAATGTTTGAGATAAGATAACATTACCTGGGGACCACTACTTGCAAATGTTTGAGATAAGATAATATTACCTGGGGACCACTACTTGCAAATGTTTGAGATAAGATAACATTACCTGGGGACCACTACTTGCAAATGTTTGAGATAAGATAATATCACCTGGGGACCACTACTTGCAAATGTTCGAGATAAGATAACATCACCTGGGGACCACTACATGCAAATGTTTGAGACAAGAGAACATCACCTGGGGACCACTACTTGCGAATGTTTGAGACAAGAGAACATCACCTGGGGACCACTACTTGCAAATGTTTGAGATAAGAGAACATCACCTGGGGACCACTACTTGCAAATGTTTGAGATAAGATAACATCACCTGGGGACCACTACTTGCAAATATTTGAGATAAGATAACATCACCTGGGGACAACTACTTGCAAATGTTTGAGACAAGAGAACATCACCTGGGGACCACTACTTGCAAATGTTTGAGACAAGATAACATCACCTGGGGACCACTACTTGCAAATGTCTGAGACAAGATAACATCACCTGGGGACCACTACTTGCAAATGTTTGAGATAAGATAACATTACCTGGAGACCACAACTTGCAAATGTTTGAGACAAGATAACATCACCTGGGGACCACTACTTTTAAATGTTTGAAATAAAAGAACAGTACCTCAGGACTAATACTTGCAAATGTTTGAGATAACATAACATCACCTTGGGACCACTACTTGCAAATGTTTGAGATAACATTACCTAGGGACCACTACTAGCAAATGTTTGAGATAACATTACCTAGGGACCACTACTTGCAAATGTTTGAGATAAAAGAAACAGAACAGTACCAGGGGACTACTATTCTGAAATGTCTGAGACAAAAGATGTCAATATCTGGGCACTACTACTTCCAAAAAGTTAAGATAAGAGATCTGTATTTAGTTGGGATGTAAGTCTTTGTGTCTGGTAACTGTGATTAAACATTGTTTTATGATTTGTACAAGTTAGTTTTTAAATATTCCCTTTATTTCGAACAAATAGGGAAAATACCTGGCTCACAAACTTCAACAATACACGGAAACCCAAGAAGAAAAAAAAATGAAACAAAATTAGGAAGACTCCCATTATTGTTAATAATTAATTACTCAAAGGCTGCAATGCAAAACATAAGAGTGCTCTCTGCTATCTCCTTTCAAATAAAACCATTCTTGCTATATGTAAAACACATACAGACACACACACACACATGCAGATGCTCGTCATGACATCGCACAGTCTCTAAAGCACTTTCATAAGGCTTAACCTGTTCATAATTATTCCACTTCCCATCAGGAGATCAAGACGTGCTATCGTCAGACTGGAGTTGCCTACTCTTGTTACTTGACTCCCCACTTTTCACTTGTTTGTGAGCTGGTTTTTTCCTGTAACTGTGGACAATGAAAAAGCTAGAGTTCAGTCATTTTATGGTAGAAAAGAAATCATATTACTGAACTGCCTGGTGCTACATCACATACAAGAAGCTACTGGTGAAACCTGAGCTGTGTTCACACGGTGGCAAACTAAACTGGTTTATCTATATAATCAGAGGTTCAGTGACCTCCCTGCAAGACAATATTTTCTTGTGATGGAACACACTGAGACCAATCACACTTCAACACAAGAATAAGAAAGACTTCTCTGGGATAGTATAGATGGACAGTGCGACACTGATGATACATTCCTTCTTGTGCCATTCCTTTAGCAAAGGTGCATACACCAAGCACCACGTACCTAACAGGTAAGAAAAGACAAGAGAAGGTGACACAGGCAAAAAGATAAATGAGCTAGGAACTACTAAACATTACAAATAACACAATGTAAGGTGATGAAAACATAAATACAGATTGCTACACCACAGTAACTGTAACAATTTTAAAACAATTCAATGAGATGAAATATCTATTAACTTTGATAACAGCAAATAGAGATGTGAAATGCAGAACAGCTCAAGCCAAAGTAGTGGCTATGATGGCTACATCTAACCTCAACTTTCCACAATCAACATTACTGGGTATGAGGACTGACATGCTTGGGGACTGACACTTGCTTGGGGACTTAGTTGTTGTGTTTGTTAGTGCTATCTCCACTTGGAAGTGCTATCTCCACTTGGAAGTGCTATCTCCACTTGGAAGTGGTTTTTGTTAGATTCCTCCACTTAGTTGTTGTGTTTGTTAGAGCTTCTTCTACTTGGTTGTTGTGTTTGTTAGAGCTTCCTCTACTTGGTTGTTGTGTTTGTTAGAGCTATCTCTACTTGGAAGTGGTGTTTGTTAGTTTCCTCCATTTGTTTGTTGTGTTTGTTAGAGCTTCCTCCACTTGTTTGTTGTGTTTGTTAGTTTTCTCCACTTGGTTGTTGTGTTTGTTAGTTTTCTCCACTTTGTAGTAAAATTGAGTGGCTATCAATGATTCAGTCCTTGGATAACAGTGCAAACTAATGACTGTAACTTTGGACCCCTCTTCCCAGTTCTGCCCTGTCTTGAAAGTGCATGCATTGGGACTTCATTCATAATTCTGCCTTGTCTCCTAACTGTTTGAAATGATCCAAAGCTAAAGAACAAACTGTCTATCTAAATTTCTCAGTAAGACAGACATAACAATAAACAACAAATATTCTTCAATCAGATTTTTCATTTCTTCAAGGAATTTTGCATGAGTTACATACATATTCACCTGACAGTCTCTTTGAGGAAGGGGAGGGAAAGGGAACCCAAAAAAAAAGGAGGGGGGGGAAGAAGAGAAGAATTTAAAAAAAATAATTTCAGCAAAGTAATAATTTTCTAAAAAGTTATGAATGAAAAAAAATTGGTCACTTTAAGGATATACTGTGTTAAATCCGAAGGAAATAACTGCCCACTATGGAAGCATTCAAGTATACTAAATTATACACTTGAGTAGTTAGAAGTAAAAGACTTTTATAAATCACTGGTGCAACAGGAATTTGACCACAGGCGCATCTTTCTACAGACCACCTGGCATTCAACTAGCCATCAATGTTATGCAAGAGATTTAACTAGAATACATTTGTGTGTCAAATGCTAAGAAGTTAATAAACCAGTCAGGTTAGACTTTACCAGACAGAAGTAACTCACTCTCTCCAATTTCTATGATCCAACACTGTAAAGTCATCCAGGTCAGCTATACAGTTTAAATATTCTGCCAGTTTGAGCAACTCTGTGTCACTGAAACGGTTCACTGGTCCATCGCGAAAAGCTTTCACCTGTAATGATAAGAAACAATTATACTGTGCTGAGGGAGGGTGGGGGATTTTTTAACAACTCTTTAGAACAAAATGAAAACTGTTTTAACAATAAGTAACATTAAAAAAACAGGTAACATTGTGTGGTTCAGTGGCTTCGAGGGTAGTAAAGGCTTTTTCACATTTATTAATGATCTGTGTAAAATTGTTGTTTTTAAAATAATTTTCTCTTAAAAATTCAGAACGAAGTCATGACCGATTTTTGTTTCAATGTGAGTGAACTGTTTGCACAGCAGAGTGATCATGAAAAAAACAAAAAACATTCACCACTTCCTGGTTGTGAGGCATTAAGTTCTCAGATCAAGCCAAGGCTAGCTTACATTATACAAGCAAAAGCTGATGAAATAACCAAACACATAGAAGTTCAGCGGTACTTCAGTATATGTACTTAATCTGTTCCACATTCTTGGAGGTATCCCAAACAGGACCTACACCAAATTTTCCCATAAGAAAAAAAAAAGGGAAGAATGATTTTCATTCTCATGAAAAAAAAAATCTGATTGTTACTGTTACACATTGATAAGGTTGTATAAATTAATTTATATACTGCCAAATACTAGAATACATAATTACAAAAGCAATTAGATGAAATAAATGAAAATGTATCATCCTCACTTAACCTTGCTGAGAAGAGATGAGTGCCTATAAAGATGGTGATGAGAAGAGAGAAGGAGCAGACGTTATTTGCAAGGAGATTCCTCTTCCAATTAAACTTAGGAATCTAAAATTCTGGTCTGCCTTTTCTCTTTGGGGGGGGGGGGGGGGGGAGGTTTTCTACTTGAGGCTCATCGGATTTGACTTCTAATAAAATTATGTCCAAATAACTTTGCTTCTGCCTTCTCCTCTGCATGTTTAGGAAATTTGACATTGGTCATTTGAGACAATGCTATTACAGCTTGTTTGAGCTCTGTTGGGGTGCTTGTCTGCTCTTTTAATACAATTGTATTACAGCTTGTTTGAGCTCTGTTGGGGTGCTATTGTCTGCTCATTTGAGACAATGCTATTACAGCTTGTTTGAGCTCTGTTGGGGTGCTATTGTCTGCTCGTTTGAGACAATGCTATTACAGCTTGTTTGAGCTCTGTTGGGGTGCTTGTCTGCTCTAGCTTGTTTGAGCTCTGTTGGGGTGCTATTGTCTGCTCATTTGAGACAATGCTATTACAGCTTGTTTGCGCTCTGTTGGGGTGCTTGTCTGCTCTTTTAATACAATTGTATTACAGCTTGTTTGAGCTCTGTTGGAGTGCTATTGTCTGCTCATTTGAGACAATGCTATTACAGCTTGTTTGAGCTCTGTTGGGGTGCTATTGTCTGCTTATTTGAGACAATGCTATTACAGCTTGTTTGAGCTATGTTGGGGTGCTATTGTCTGCTCATTTGAGACAATGCTATTACAGCTTGTTTGAGCTCTGTTGGGGTGCTATTGTCTGCTCATTTGAGACAATGCTATTACAGCTTGTTTGAGCTCTGTTGGGGTGCTATTGTCTGCTCATGCTATTACAGCTTGTTTGAGCTAATGCTATTGTCTGCTCATTTGAGACAATGCTTGCTTAAGCTCTGTTGGGATGCTTTTGTCTGCTCATTTGAGACAATGCTATTACAGCTTGTTTGAGCTCTGTTGGGGTGCTTTTGTCTGCTCATTTGAGACAATGCTATTACAGCTTGTTTGAGCTATGTTGGGGTGCTATTGTCTGCTCATTTGAGACAATGCTATTACAGCTTGCTTAAGCTCTGTTGGGATGCTTTTGTCTGCTCATTTGAGGCTATTACAGCTTGTTGTCTGTTGGGGTCATTTGCTCATTTGAAACAATGCTATTGCAGCTTGTTTGAGCTCTGTTGGGGTGCTATTGTCTGCTCATTTGAGACAATGCTATTGCACTTGTTTAAGCTCTGTTGGGGTGCTATTGTCTGCTCATTTGAAACAATGCTATTACAACTTGTTTGAGCTCTGTTGGGTGCTACTGTCTGCTCATTTGAGACAATGCTATTACAACTTGTTTGAGCTCTGTAGGGTGATACTGTCTGCTCATTTGAGACAATGCTATTACAACTTGTTTGAGCTCTGTAGGGTGATATTGTCTGCTCATTGTCAATGCTCATTTGAGACAGGGTGATACTGTCTGCTCATTTGAGACAACGCTATTACAGCTTGTTTGAGCTGTTGGGGTGCTATTGTCTGCTCATTTGAGACAATGCTATTACAACTTGTTTGAGCTTTGTAGGGTGCTATTGTCAATGCTATTACAACTTGTTTGAGTTTGTATGTTATGTATTCAGACAATGCTATGTGTTTGAGCTCTGTAGGGGTGCTATTGTCTGCTCATTTGAGACAACGCTATTACAACTTGTTTGAGCTCTGTAGGGGTGCTATTTCTCTGCAAAGTAATTGACATCTATTCAAGGCTTTGTCTTTCGAGAGATAAACCATGATAGCGTACGGTGTCATGACTTACCTCTACAAGTTCTAGCACACAGGTCGTATTCCAAACAAAGAGCGTACACTAAGTAATAAATGTCCATCTAAACAGGACGTACACTAAATTCAATGTATACCATAGCGAAAGTATACTGAGGTACTATGGTATATTCTTTTCACGTTGAATATTTAAAATCTTACGTTCTGATTAAGATAATCAATACAATAGACAATCTGAGATGTGGCCACTTACCCTCAAACCTGACTGTGGGTTCATGATGAAATTTCTACGGACATCATCGAACATGATAGTGTTTTTCTCACTCCAGTGCTCATACTTGCCCCAGATTACACCCAAGGGCTTCACCTGAAGAGTGGCAACATCCATGTTCAAAGAGATTCAAACAAATGTTGATCAACTTACAGGGTCATGATGTCACTGACAACAGATTATAAAGTACTCTTTCAATCTCTTGTTTAAAAGCAAACTTGTCAATATTTACATGCTTTTATCAAACATTCCAAAATATCTCAAAGTTTACATATTTATCCACAAGTCAGACATATCCTAATATTTTAACAAATTGTTATCAAACATCAGATACATCCCAACATTTTCATAAACTGTTATCAACAAGTCAGAAATCTTCCAATACTTACAAACTGTTATTTACTTTATTTTTGTATTCCATTTTATTCCAAATGGCTCAGACTCCTTCCATAGGATAGCCAGTGCCAGCCAAGAGCATTGCACAAGGCACAAACTCCGTAGCTCCAGGGATAATCCCCAGGAATCTTTTTTTTTTAAATTGCACTCGCAAATTAAAGCGCACAACCATGAAATTAACCCATGCCCTTCAGAGCACAATGCAAAGTGAGTGAGTCAGTCAGTCAGTAAGTAGAGAGAGAGAGAGTGAGTAGAGAGAGAGTGAGTGAGTGAGTAGAGAGAGAGCGAGTGAGTGAGTAGAGAGAGTGAGTGAGTGAGTGAGTGAGTGAGTGAGTGAGTGAGTGAGTGAGAGAGGTGCGTGAGTGTGTGCGTGCCTGAGAGAGGTGCGTGAGTGCATGCATGCGTGAGTGCATGCGTGAGTGCATGCGTGCGTGAGTAAAATGTTTTCTTATAACAAGGAAGGGCAGAATATCTTCTTTTCTGTTCCCATAAAAGAAGGGTTGGCACTGTGCTGTGATTAACAGCTAGACTGTGATATCTGCATCTTTTAGCCCAACACATCCTATTTTAGCATGCCCTTTACTTTGTGAATTTGTTAGTCTACACCCCTCCCCACCCCACCCCTTATGCCCCAGAACTCAGAGAGGGAAGACAGATTATGAAGTAATTATATCAGGATTATATCAGTTTGTGTAACACTGGTGTTCAATCTATCAGGTGCCATCTCCACAATGAAGGCTGGCTGCAAAGGATCTTCTAAACTCTCTTCTCTTGGTTATATATTCTTTCAGACTGTTGCCTGTACATTTCTTGATGCTGTCCTCCCACTTGTATCATTGTATATTTCTTGATCTCTTGCCTTTGACGGTTCCATCCAGGATGGTTTTTAGAAAGCGTGTAGTCTTTTGTTAATGTTCTAAAATATTTCAATTGTCTCTCTCTTTTTTTTCCCAGTAACGCTTTTCATTGCCAATGTCTCTAGAACCTCTGTATGTGACTGTTTTTGATTCCATGAAAATACAACCAATTTTTCTGTATATCGACATTTAGAGAGACTTCATTTGATTTTCTAGCTGCCTGTTCAATGTCCAGGTTTCTGCACCATACAGCAGGGTTCAGTATACAGAACTTTTGACAATACTCATTCTGAATGTGTTGTTTATCTCTCTAGCTGTCAACAATTTTAGCATTGAGTTGAAGATAGTATAGGCATTTTTTTTTCTCTTTTTGATTACTGTTTCACTGCTGCCGTTGTTTTAATATCTCTTCATTTACTGGTCACTCCTTTCCAGTGTTAATTATCAGTTTTTGATTTCAAACTTTAATGATCAAACTATTATGCTAGGTGTAATAAGGAAAGATGGACTTACAAATGGTGATGTCAGGAGAAGTGCTGGCAAAGAAGCAAAACTAAACTTCAACAGAGAACAGATCAAATGGTTTGGCCAACAGTCAGGGCATCACAGGAAGCACTGTTATACAGACACAACATTAACAGATCCAGAGGTTGACTACGCAGAAGATGGACCACAGAAATATTGAAGACACTGAAAAGTGCTGTATAGGAAGTGAATAGAAGGGTCCATTCCAGATTCTTTTTTTCTGCCTTAACACTGTGAAGCATTCCAGGAGTACAGAAAAGAAGAAGAATGTCTAAATCATACTCTGCATTCTGTATGTTGACTTGATCCACCAATAGTGTTAAACTTCATCACAAGATGCAAGTAATATTAACATATGACAAGTGTACTTAACCAGACCTAACTGATGAAACTCCTTATTTCAGCACAACTGCCTAATAACATTCTTAAAGTCTGCTCTATTCATTTGTTGACTCTCTGTCACCACAAGTGACTATCATCACTGCAGGCCAGGCAAGCCCATTGGTGCTCAGTATGTTAATGAGTATGAGGTGGCTGATCACTCCAGTTCAGTGTTGATTCACTCACTAGTCTTCTTGTGTCCTGTACACAGACTTCATTAGTCATCAGTACCGCTTTCAACTTTAAAGCAAATGGGTCACCCCATAATTGCTCTGTTTTGTGATCAGATCTGCACTTCCAACTAATGCAGTGTCATCATCACAGACAGCTTCTCCACTGTAAGGGCAACGGCAGTTTTCAACAAAAGACTACGAGACTCCTAAACTATTATGCCCACCCTGCTGAAAAAGTTCTAGTGTAAAATCTGTGGTGGAAAAGTAGCCAGAATCAGCATAATCCTTACCTGCAGGGACTGCAGGTTACCAGGCTTGCTTTGGTCATTATGGGTGCCCCAATTAAAACTTTTGTGAAGGTTGAAAGGGATATCTGGGATTTAGCTTATTGGCTTGCCATCGGGATTGCGATGTCTGTAATCTCAGGGTGCTCAAACAATCAGTTAGCAGCCTTGGGGAGGGAAGGAGGATGAGGAAGGAAGGAAGGACAGTGTAAACAGTGCAAAAATGCAGCACCCCTCTATTTTCACTCCATATTGTAAACTTCAAAGTTTAACTTTCCAGAGTAGTCTCTCTGTGAAAAAGTTATAGAAAAGCAGCACCTCCACTCATTTTAGCTAAGAGCCGCCACTGAGAAAGGCTGACCCAAGTAAAATGGCTGAATATTAATAAAAATTCAGCTTTTTATTGGGGGGGGGGGGGGGGGGGGGGGGTCATAAACATACAGACATACTGTGTTGCAGGCTAACAGGTTAACACAGCAAACAATAATGGCTTGGCTTAACTAACAGAAGCTTGAAAAAGATTTACAGGAAAGAACAGAGAAAAAGAAACAACACAACTGTCACCTCTATGACACCATATTTTGGTGTGTGTATGGAGATCATTGCATCTGCATCCAGGTAGAAACAAATTTTATATTCTGGGTGAGAGGAGACACCGAGCAGGTTTAGTTTTGTTTCAATCCACTTCATTCCTGTAGCAGCTGAAACAGGCAACAGAACTTGAGATAGTTCTAACTTATAAAAGTAAAGTAAAATACCCACTCATGGCTGAGTCGACCTGGGAGCCAAAGGTCATTTTTGAAAAAAGTCCGGCTCTACCAGGGAGCGAACGCACGACCTTCTGATCTGCGACGAGCGTCTAACCGCTCGGCCACGACGAAACCCCTCGAACTTATACAGTGAACAATAAATGAACTGCTGACCTGCATACTCAGCATTGGTTTACAATGATTAATGTGACAGCAATTTGGAAAAACCATAACTGAATAGATGCAGGCCACCATAAGGTAAACATCAAGACTCACATGGCTTCTCCAGGGCAGTGGCCATTTACTTGCTTGGATCAATATGTAGGTACACAGGTTTTTGGGTCTACCAGGTCTACCAATATCTAGAACTTTTGTTGATCATGGTTAAACCAGGCAGATGTCCCCTAGGTAAGCTATCATAAGCTATCCAACAGCTGAACAATAATATTAAACATCCCACACAAAGTCAGTTGCAATAGTGTGATTTATCCTGCCTAGCCACGAACACACATATATAGCTAGATCAAATCTATGATGAATGATATCAGCAAATGTCAGAGAAAATCTGCTGCTCACTAATACACATCAGGCAACACAGACAGTCTTCAAGGCGACATCTGACCTTGACGACAGCCCACAACAGAGCTACCTATAGCCTATAGTGACAAATAAGGCTATGTGCACTCCTGTGCTCATATTCTGGAGACACCCATATCTATCAGCATCAAAACCAGGCAACAAAAATTAAAATGACACAATCGCATCCATAGCACAAAGTATGAAGTGACCAAACATGGACTCCATGTCCTTTTTTCTATCTCAGCCCCTCCTGAAGGCCACTAAACAGCCCTTACTAAAGTCAGCAGAACAGTCCTTCCGTGACTGTAACTGACTCAAAGAGCATGCTGAGAAAGGTGGAGATAGGTATGCTCCATGCAGAGTGGCAAGCATCACTTCAGAGGTCCCGGCTAGTTAGCATCCTTTGGATATTCTCTCCATGTTATGCCAGTGTGTTGGGAAATGAGCAGGTAGATAGACTGGCCGGTTCTGCACCACTTGGTGGTGAACTGATGTGTGACAAGTTAGATATTGTGAGGGCCCTCTAGGACCGAGTGAGCAGTGCGGAAGTGCAAATAGATCAATACGGTCTGATGAAAACAGCGCCGTGAGGAGTGACCTCTGTAACTAGCCGATGCTCAACACTCTGACCACCCTATATGCTCTGTCCGCCTGCACTGCTAATATCTGCCCTTGTCAATGAAACTTTACCAGCCTACACACAACTATCACATTAACTAAAAGCAGCTTTCACAGGTGCAACACACACAAAAGCTACTGATAAACCCTTTTGCTCTATGAACTCTTGAAAAAACAAAAAATTAGAATTTCAGAAAAACATCCGTAAAATAAAACAATTTTCCACAAGTAAAAGTAAAGTAAAGTTCCCTTTTCACGCCTTTCGGCGCATCGGGCATATGGGCAGAGCGTCCCATATTTTTACAGACCATCAGCACTCTGTGGGTAATGTGGTCAGCATTACACCGGCTGTCTTTACTTTCCCAGGACAGCCCATCCTGGTACCCATTTTAGGCTGGGTCGACCTGCGACGTCCCATACCACGACAAAAATCCACGCAGCCTGCAGTGGGTTTCGATCGCAGTATGCTGGCTTACAGGAATTAAGGAGGTATGTCTTCATCTTCAGTGATCTCGGGTCATGAACTTAAATCCACTGTAGGCCATAAGCAGGATTTCATCTCAAGGTCTCTTAGGTGTCCCCAAAGTTTAGTTATCAGGTAATCTGGGTCTGGCAAAGTGTTCTTTCGCAGCTACTCCAGGAAAGGGTAGTCTTTCAAAACATATTCTGGAGTCTGTTCAGCCCAAAGACACCGGCAGAGAGTTGTTTAGCACATTCCTAAATTATATGAGTGTTTGTTGAGTCTGCAGTGTCCAGTAAGTATGTGACAAATTGTTTTTTTCCAGGTGACTGAAGGAGGTAGGTGATCTCTATGTTTTTTTTTAAATAAAAAATGTTCATTAAACTGAAGAGAAACCTGCCCCTGTTTAAGCATGTCTGAATGTAACTGAAAAGCTTTAATACAATCTGTTTTGAGAAAAGGACAGAGGATGGGAGAAAGTGAAAGAAAAAAGTGTGAGAGAGACAGTCTTAAATTGAGAGAGAGAGAGAGAGAGAGAGAGAGAGAGAGAGAGAGAGAGAGTCAGAGAGAGAGAGAGAGAGAGAGAGAGAGAGAGAGAGAGAGAGAGAGAGAGAGAGAGAGCCAGAGAGAAAGACAGAATAATGAGTATTAAAAACCAACAGACAATAACTATAGGTACCAATGTTTTAATAAAACAGACTAGGCATGACAGAATGTTGAGCTTCAAAGTTTGTTTTGCTTCTGACAGTGCTTTGCTAATGCAGTTTCCACATATGGACGGTAGTGTACGTTTTCGCTGCCTGATCTACGAGTTTAGTGCTTGGTGCAGCCCTGTGAGCTGTGTTTTTCATGTGGAATGCCTTTCATTTGTGCAGCAAGGGTGTCATATTCTTCAATATGGCCGGTAGCCAGTTTACGTGTGAGCTGGTGAAACATCTTATGTAATAATTCTACGTGTGTATAGCAAAGATACTGGTTGGGCCATGTCTCCCACACTACAAGGGGTCTCCTCTATGGTGAACTGCAGGAAGGCTAAAGCCACAAGGACACATGAATACATGACCTGAAAGACAACACTGACACAGACACTTGGGAGGGAACAGCTGCAGACCAACTGCTATGAAGGCAGACATGTGAAACATGGACTTTCACACTTTGCGTGAGGCCTGAGGCAATAGGCAATATAAAGGGTCAACATTTGTATGTAGTCTGTGTGTCCGGTACTACACATAAATACTTACACCATATCACAATGTCATAGTTTTTGTAAGCCTCCGTAAGAAACTCATGCAAGTATGGCCTCATGAGCTCATTTGCCTGCTCCACTGTTGACCTGTGGTCTGAGAGAGGGTTGCCAAATAGAAAGACAACAAATATTACCACAGGTTAGTCAAGCTAATCAAAGTTATGTTTAATCAGAGATTTCAAGTAGATTAGTAGTTCTTGGAACACTTATAACTGAAGAGGTAACTGACATTTTTGTGTTGAATCAATGGATACGGTTCCCCGATGGTTCATATCAATCATCATAAGAGCCTTTACATAATATGATACAAAAACAGCATTCATATCTGTCATTTTTGTCACCCTAAACACAAATTTGTGTAAATTCACCAATACAAATACACAGAGCTTTAACAATAGAAGTATAGAGATTGGCAGCTGATCTAGGAGGGAAGCTCTGACAGGTAGACAGATAGAGAACTGCTCTTCTGATCCAGCAGCTTCTGCAGCCTACTTTGTTCCAAACGTACTGATGTTACTAAGGCAGATAGAAAGATTGTGATGCATGGGCAACATATAGTCCCTACAATACAGCCCAGACTTTGTGCTATGGAAAGAACAAATGAATTGGCCTTAATTGGTTTCTGAAACAAATTGAGAGGCAGCAGTTAGGGTTTATACGTCCTTGTCCAATTGGGAGTTACTAGTCCTTGTCAACTGTCATAGACAATGATGCCACAGACTGCCTCTGATGGTGGGGGACATTTTCGAAAATCACTGATCATCTGCCACCCACCACAAGCTGGGCAGCCCCCAGCCAATAAGGTGCTGATTTGCCACAGCTGTAAACAATTAATGCATAAGGCAATAAAAAGAAACATAACTTCAAGCTTCAGCTTGCCTCATGGAACTTCAGGACCATGTTTCCTGGGTTTTCCACTGACCTGGAAAACATTAGTTGCAAAGACTCTCTCGGCTCTCGTTACTTGCAATCTTCTCAAATGTACATTGACTGGACAGTCTGACATTATGGCATAGAGGTTCATCTGTGTCAGAATTGACTGAAAGTACACGCGACAGAAGGTTGTGGATAACATGACTACCAACACTGCATGGCATGGACTTTAAGAAGAAGAATTACCCGAATTTTTAAATGTGAACATCAATTAAGAAGAAGAAAATGACTCCCTATTTTAGTGATGTAAGAAAAACGGCTATCATTGATGTCGAACTCAATGAATTTCACAAAGATATTGCTGGTCTACAGGAAACACATCTTCCAGAGGATGGGTCCATTAGAGAAAATAATTGTACATTCTTCTGGAAAGGCAGATGCCACAAAGAAACCTGTTAGTATGAAGTGGGGTCTGCAGTAAAGAATTCACTGTTGGGATCAGCTGAGAGTCCAACTGGAGAAATGACAGAATATTATCCCTAAAAATTTCTACCCCAAGCAGTTTTATCAACCTTGTTTCTGCATATGCACCCACTCTAACGTCAACAGAGGATGCAAAGGTCTCTTTTTATGAGGAACTGGACAATGCAGCAAAGGCAATTCCTAAATCTAACGGCATGGGCACAGTTGGTGATTCTAATGCTCACGTAGGGTTGGACTAAAACCCATTGCCAGTTTGCCTTGGAAAATATAATTTTGGTCACACGAATGAAAATAGGCAAAGACTATTAGAATTCTGCATCACAAACTTCTTTTCAAAACTAAAGACTGCCACAAAGTATCTACCACAAAAAAACATCCAAGATCTGGCTATTGGCACCAACCAGACCTTATTCTCACAAGGAGGTAGCATTTGAACTATGTATCAGTGCTGACTGTGATACTGACCATTCCCTAGTTTCTTCAAGAGTTTGGATGAAACCAAAGAGAATTTTCACTTCAAGAAACAAATACATCCCCTGGTTTAAGATGCTTTCACTGATATCCCAGAAAACTCTACAGCAAGCATAAAATGGGATGCAATTAAGGTGACTGTCTATAAAACAACTGCATCAGTCAATGGGATTAGAGAACATAGAAGAAAGGACCGGTTTAAAGCAAATTGCCAGACACTCCAACCCCTAATTGACAGCAAAAAGTTAATGCTCATCATAAACAAGGAAAGAACAACAAGGAACACTCTTAGAGATAAAGTCAGGAGATGAAGAAGATCCTACTCAATGACAATGATATGTCTTCTTCTAAATGGAAATTATTAAAGAATGGTGACACTCACCCTGTGTTCATTTGCTTATTTCAGTTATCTTCCCATAAAATGGCAGACTAGGCATGACAGAATGTTGAGCTTCAAAGTTTGTTTTGCTTCTGACAGTGCTTTGCTAATGCAGTTTCCACATATGGACGGTAGTGTACGTTTTCGCTGCCTGATCTACGAGTTTAGTGCTTGGTGCAGCCCTGTGAGCTGTGTTTTTCATGTGGAATGCCTTTCATTTGTGCAGCAAGGGTGTCATATTCTTCAATATGGCCGGTAGCCAGTTTACGTGTGAGCTGGTGAAACATCTTATGTAATAATTCTACGTGTGTATAGCCAACTTATCGTGCCCAACTACTTCCATCAACAACAAACTGCATTTCTGTTGGCGACTGTTGGCGCCTCTAGCAACTGCCATGTGCATTTACTGCATGCGCATATTTCTGGACTGTTCTGGCACTAAATGTTTGTTCACCAGTTTTTCAAATGGGACAGTCAGGGACATTTTATTTGATTTTCACTGGCACAGAAACGGAACAAGTATGGGAAAACCCGATTGCAGTGATGTTGAAATCTAGACTAAGACTAAGTTATCTGTATGTCTCAACTGTTTCTGGTTTAGGCAGTGTGTATCAGGGAAGATTAAAATAGGAACAGTATATGATAAAACATACAGTAAAAAAGGCTTGGAGTATATCTGACAAAATAACTGGGACACTGCAGGTTAAGACAAAAATCTGGGTCAAAGGAGGTAATGGTATTCTCATCAGGAGCAGAATCTGGGATCAGATTTGTAGAATAATCTGTGTTACAAGCCACACAATAAAAATATCATCCAAAATAAACAGGAGGGAAAAACATTAAAGTTTCAGTACAATCTCATCATCATCGTGTAGCAGGTCCTTCGCAGTCACTCTCATCACAGGTCTGCCTGAACGAAACTCAGTCTCTCGCCAGCTCTCCTGTCTTTTGTACTTCAATATTCAAGGAGTCACTTATATCCTGTGCTCAACTTGGTCAGCTCCTGTCCCTCCTTTCTGATACCATGCCTTCTGCTATTATTTTTTCCAATCCACCATGGCGCTTGATATGAACAAAATATTTCAGCTTCTAAGACATGATGCTGTTTATTTGCCAATCTTCCTTGATGTTCAGATCTTTAAAATGCCAGTATTTATTTCTTCTATTCTTTGTCCACAGTATTCTGAAAATCTTTCTATAGCATTTAAGTTAAAAAGCACCTATTTTCTTTTTTAAGGACTGGGGGATAGTCTATGACTCAAATCCGTATGTTGCTACAGGGAAGATGCATGCTCTCAAACTTTAACTTTGATCTCTTTGCTGGTGGTTACCCATAGACGTTTTAATTTTGATTTCCTTGGTGGTGGTTAACCACAAATTATTAGTGCTGTTTAATCTTTGTATTGCTATGGCCATCCTCCTTTTGATTTCTGTTGAACAGTCTCCATTGCAATTTACTTTGGAGCTTAGATATTCAAAGTTTGTGATACTATCAACTTATTCACAATTTATTGTTATTTTTGGGTGACAGCCATTTTTGTCTGCAGACAGTTTTGTTTTCTTTAGATTCAAGAATAGGTTTTGATCTTCACTGAATTTTTGGACAGACATGATTAAATGTTCTATTTCCTTTACATTGTTTGAAAGGAGGACTGTGTCATCTGCATAGCTAAGTACAATCTAGTCTTTGGAAGAAAAAAACCAGAAGTTGAAAAATGTATTGACCTGTGCTTCAAATAGGAAAGGCATTAAACAGAGTTAGCTACTACAAATTAATTAAATGCCTGCATGAAAGAGACAGATGGCAAAGTCAGAAGATTCCTAATAAACATACTGAAAAAGTGAGCTGCAGTAGCTTGCCTGCTAGCTTGGTACCCATTGTGTTGAAGATCCATCAAGGCTGATTTGTCAATTTTATCTGGGGATAGCTTGACCTAGGCTAAAAATAGGTACCAGGAATAGCTCTAAAAGTAGAGCCGGTGACCCTATCAACAAACAAGTGTGCACTGGTTTATTTAAAAGATATGGGAATAGCACCATAGTTCCAGTACACCTCAAAGTGTGAAAACGGGTCCTTGACTTTAAGTAACATAATATGACCCTTGACCCCATAGGGTCGTGGAGGGGTTATCGATGGAAGCACTAGCACACAAAAAGCAGCCATTTTTCTCAATCTTCTGCTTGCTGAATAAGTGTATGATACCTAAGTCCTGTTCATTTCTTGATGTTGTTATTCCAGGTTCTTCTTTGCCCTAATTTTCTTCTACTACCCCCCCCCCCCCCCCACCCCTTTCCAATGTTCTTTGAAGTACAGTCTTTGCAATCGAATCATGTCTCACCATGTGCCTGAACCAACTAGCTTGCAACGTTTCACTTCTGCCAAGAGAGGCTTTAAATTGCTTATTCTGGATGTATGTGACATGCAACAGGTGGGTAAAGTGTAAATGTTATAAAGCCAGGTGTCAGACATGTTAACAATTAAGGATCCTTTTGGCATATGGTATTAGACACACATTTGTGAAGATCAACTGGCACTTGATGGGTGACTGAGCACCCTTACTTTTGAGGACATTACCTGGTACCCAAATTAGGCTGGGTCAACCCAAGTACCGAGGTATTTTTAACAAAAATTCACTTTATGTTGATTAAGCAGACACTTATATTTGATATACATGAATTCAGGAGGTGAGGATGTCCAAAAAAAACCCTAAGATGAAAGCTGAGGTGAAGGAGAGAAGACAAAAGTGTTGGACTGGATTCCATCCATGATACTGAAACAACTGCACAGGGCAGAACAGAATGGAAGAATAAACTGTCAGCACTGTGTAATGTATAAACTGTACAACAGGCTGATGATGATGATGATGATGATGTAGGTTTAAACCCAAGACCCTCAGGCTGGCAGGTAAGCCTGGTGTTAGACAATGGTGAGTAATTATTCAAAGAATAAATTCAAAAGTTAGAGACAATCATAGGACTATTCAAGAAATGTGTGTGTTTAGACAACATTTTGTAGGCTTAAATATCACAGGATCTGCAAGGATGAGCAAACTAAATGCAAAAACCAAGCAATGAAAATGGTCTAGACATAAATATAAAACTCACAAAAATAGTACCAAGATAATTTTGACAATTACAGTAAAGCTACCTGAACAAACTGATAGTTTGTCTTACACAGAACAATTATTATCTATTATTGGCAGATGTGAGGGAAGTCACTCTCTTCATTGCTATAAATAAAAGTTTCATACAAGAGACCTGGCTTCTTAGTAAAATATTTCACTCACCAAACAATGTGTAGTCGATGTCTAGAACAAGAAGCTTTTTCCCAGGTCGACATTCATTCAGGGTGTTCACTCTATATGTCTTCACACGTCTTTCAATCTTGGCTAGGTACTCCTCTCTGAGAAAGGGAAGCACATCATAAAATCCTATATTCCAGGTTGTGTGTATCTACGTAGGTACTGCTGTTGTGTGAATAGTGTTCATGAGCTACAATACTAGCACTGTAACCCTACTAGAAGCAATCCAAGCACTGTAACCCTACTAGAAGCAATCCAAGCACTGTAACCCTACTAGAAAGTACAATTGCACTGATAAACACATAGTGTTTACATATTTAGGTTGTTAATGGAAAATTACTAATTAAAAAAAAAGAGTCATTACTTACATATCTGTATATGTTTACTGAGTTATAATTTATTATGACCGAATTGTTTTGACTATATTTGTCAATCTCTTTATTGTGGTAAAGGTGCAGTCGTCTGCCATGGCAAGGAACATAGTTATGAGTCAGTACTTTTGAAAGATTTCCTTAATAACAGGGGTCGTCCCGGTTATGGGACAGTTCAGTGTGATGATGATGAATTAGCTAAGTTGGAGATTGTGACCCCTAACTAAACTCCGGGCATGTGCAGACAAGCCGATACACGAATAAAGCTGTGTTCACTGTGCTAGGTTTGCTGGGGCATCAGCGGGCTTCACGAAGGGCCGACAGAACAGTGAACTCTGGGAGTTCAACAAAACGACTGGACAAATCACAGAACGGGATTTTTGGGAGGACATCTGTGTGACTTGGACGTTGTTTTTGACCGGACCATTAAATTGTAATAGTTCATTGACAAATCGTAACAACTGGTAGAAATGTGGTGTGTTAGATGTTAGCTGTGATTCGTACCGTCCGGTGATTCGTACCGTCCGGCATTTGACTAAATGTGGTTATAATTTATGGTGTAGGTAGTAATTGTTTCATTTAGATCTCATTTAGCAGTTAGATTCAGGATAGCAGTTAGACTTTTCCAGAAGTTGTACCTCGTTATGGGAAACAAGACCATGCATTGTTTGTGGCCTTAGCATCTGCCGACGCACCTCCAGCCTGCACTCAACGTGTGCCACAGCATCCATGGCATTGGGAGACAGTGAGTTGAGATAGTGCTGTACGAGCTTATTTCATGAAACGTAAAAAGGCGTGTCTAACGATTTTAAAGTTAGAAGTGGCCTGGTTTCAGAATAAGGAGCAATACCGCTCCTGAGGCACAGACCTTCATGAGTTTGTATCCTTAGATAATAAAGACTTGGCTTGGGCATGTTCGTTAGCAGTGTTTCATCATCATAAAACACTTCTGCCGTTAAGCGTCGTGGGGAGAAATAGTTTACGATCCAGTGCACGTTGGCTGCCACTGGCTATTGTCATGCCGTAAAGGCATAGAGCGTCTTTAATGTTGTCGATTCATGTTTTCCGCAGCCGTTCCCTTGTTCTTGTAGCTGATCTTCTGAGATGTAATGATTGTGATGGTATTTGATCTTGCTGCATTCTAACGAAATGGCCAAACCAGTTGATCTGCTGTTCTCGATGAATCTAGTACAAGGTGTCGTTCCCACAATTTGCCTGATAGTTTCTATATTCACTCGATCTTGTATGGTTAGGTTAGCTGCTTCTATCAGGCACCTCATCTTGCAAGTAGGTGATTTTGCATATATGGGCTTTAGATAGTGTCCATGTCTGACACTGGTAGCTTAATGTTGGAATGAATATGCTATTAATAATCTGTCACTCTGCACTCATAGTTATGCTTAGATGTCTTAATAATGGTGACAATTGGTATATAAGTGCACTTGCTTCTGACATCTGGTTTCTATTTCTCTGTCAATTCTACCATCTTCTGTGATCATACTTCCTAGATATTTAAACTCCCTAACTTGATTCAGGGCAGAACCATTTAGCTGTATGTGTAGTGGGGCAGGGGTTCTACTAACTTGCATTGTTTCAGTTTTGTTTACATTGATTTTCATGTTGTATTTACTGCATGCTGAGTTTAACCTGTTAATGTGGTCTTGCAGTCTATCTTCTTCGAGGTAGAACAAGTAGTGGTCGTCAGCAAATAGTTCGTTCCTTTAATGTGGGTGAATCAATTACTTCTCCTGATGTGTGTACTTCCTCATGATTATAAAGGTCAGCGTTGTCTGTATCATAACTTGCTTCTTTAGATATTCTGTCTATATAGATGTTAAATAAAAGTGGGGAGAGCACACATCCTTGTCTCACACCTATGTTGACTGTGAACATATCTGATTTGCCTTCTTGTGTTTTTACAGCACTTTGGCTTGTGTGGTACATGGCTATGATGTTCTCTAGTAACTGTCCTTGTACCCCGTAGTTCTCAAGAACAGACCACAGTTTTTTTCTTTCCACTCTATCAAAAGCCTTTTCCTGATCTATAAACACAATATACTGTTTGGTATTATACTCAATGGCTTTCTCACACACTTGCCTCAGAGTGAATAATGCATCTGTGCATCATCTGCCTTGTTAGCAGTGTTTATCTGTCATAAAAGCTTGGCTTGGGCATGTTTGTTAGCAGTCTTTATCTGTCATCAGCCTGCAGCGCAGCCATAGATTTGAACCCTAGACATGTAGGTTCTTGACAGTTATTAATCCATATCCATGCTGGTGTACCTCTTGTTTACTATGCTGTCCTAATACTAGCTGTAATGTTCTTGTGGAGCTGGTAAATTTGAGGGCATTCTGTTTAGATATCCAAAGAATGTGATATTGTCTGTCTATGCATGATCTTGTTATCACTTTCTGTTAAATGTCATGATTTTTAAATCTCTGTGACTTCAGCTGCCTTCCTTAAAGCAGGTGATGTTCATTCTTAACTGAACTATCTAATATTGCTGACCAATATTCTTTTTTGCCTCTGTCCTTCTTATATCCATGCAATAGGCATTGTCAATCCTGTCTGTCTTTAGCCTTCTTGCTTGCTTCTGTCAATAATGTTTCTGCAGATCAGAAGGTCCTGGGTTTGCGTCCTGACAGAGCCAGACTTATTTTTTCAATGCTGACCTTCATTCCCTGGGCGACCTAACCTTACATTGGTACCAGCTAAGAGTCCTGGGAAGTAAAGGTAGCTGCAGCAATGTGGACCACGTTACCCATCGAGTGCCGATTTGTTGATAAAATACAGGTCTAGCCTTTTATGACCAATACGCCTGAAGGTGTGGACAAGAGTTTCCATCTGCTATTATCCGAGAATTTAAGTACCTTAAAAGTTCCAGATTGCTACGGACATTCAATTTACTCTGATGAAACAGCATTCCAAGTGGAATTATCAAGACTGTAAAATGCAGTTTTGATGAAAGGACCATAGTACAACTGTAAAGTAGTGAGATAATTCTTGTTCTTCTTCTTCTTTGCATTCACCACCTGTAAACTCCGGCAGAAAGTTCTTGTTGTTCGTCCACTTCCGGGCTACATTCCTGTTTCAGAACCCGAGTGTTGCGTGAGCATCCGTTTGACAGATCTGACTAATTTGTGTGCAGACTGTTGGTTTCTTGCCTCTCAGGCAGATGCACTACGACTTTGAAAGGAAGCTACCAATGAGTCGACTCTTACGACATGCTTTTGGGTAGGCAGTGGGTCTATTCTTGTTTTTCCTATAATAGGGCCCTGGGAACCACACAGGTTGAGAGATAATGTGTGAGAATGACAAAAACCTGTTTTCAATAGCAATTTCCTCTTCTTCAATGTCAAAATCATTGACAACTTCAGGGAAATCCGCAGGAGTATCTGTTAGCTTCTCCTATAAAAGAACAAGAACAACAAAATCAAATGTTTATTGATGACTTCTTCCATAAACAACAAGTAGCAATTAAATCTGCAATTATTGCAACATACTTTAAAAATTACTAGTGACGTCAAATAGTATGCCTTCCCATGTTTGTATTATGTTTGACACTGGCTAGTAGTATGGAGGTCAACAAATATTAGCACGTTAAACATAATCTAAATTTATTTGAACACAATATCCATTTTGGGCGATGTCTGCTTAACCATCTTGACTAGAAAATGCTTCAAGACATGGAAAAGAGTTCTTGGTTTTTTTATTTTTTTATTCCCACCCTCCAGTAGTTCTGATATTTGTTACAGCCATTTTATCATTTTGTTATTTAAATAAATCATATAGCTTTTCTCATCATTTTGCAAACTTCAAATATCCATTTTTAATTTTTATTTTGTCCTGTTTGCTTAGCATATAATCTAAAAAACCTGAAATCCCAGGGAGAAAAGTGTGAACAACCCTTGTAACAACAGCTGTGAAAACAGTTTATACACACAGCAAAATATCCAAATTCTCTTCCGTGTCGAAAGAAACAGATAAAAGGAAAGATACTGCTATTGTTGGGAATAGTTAGGTCTTCACATATACTAATTCCCAAAATTTGAGCTTGGGTCTTCAGGTCCCTTTGCTTTCTTTTTCAATTCAAGACCATTCCCAGAAGTATCTGAAAATTAATGTGGTGTCCATTCAACCCCAGAGGCATACTCTTGGACAAATATTTTTATAATTAAAAGTAGCTGGTTTCAACAATCATCATTTTCATACCAGTGAGTTGATTGATGTAAGCATACATAGGGAAAATGTATGCTTTGAGAGTGTGCCATCTTCAATGAATACTCAACACAGGTCTTGTCTTGTCTTGTCTTATCCACAATTGCCTCACAGCGTAGTGGGGAGTCGCAAAGGTGTGGTTTGCACGTGTTGTTGTTAGTCCGTGTTGCCTCAGGATCTCTGATATATTGTCTATCCATCGTACTCTCGGTATGCCTCTTGCTCTAGGGCAGTAGTATATAGCCAGTAGTATATACACAGGTATATAGCCTAATTATGAATGTAATTACAGTTACATCTGTCCACAAAAAACTTAATCTCCAAACAAAGCTCATTTTAGGATTTCATGTTTATCACATACCAGATTGGTTCGAGGTGCAAAAGAGAGAAAAGTAAGGGTGCATTCTTTCACCACACCTTTTCAATATATATGCAGAAACATAATGAGAAATATCAAAAAAATGACCAGACTTAGGACAGCTATGATCCGCTGAAAATTGGTGGCAACCCTATCCTGGAACCTCGCTATGCAGTCCTCCTTTTGAACAATGTAAACAGAAAAGAATATTCAATCATGTCTGTCAAAAGACACAGTGAAATTTAAAGCCTATTATTCATTTTTTTTTTAAACGAAGGGAGAACAAAAGTAATGTCCACAGACAAAAACTGGACGTCACCCATAAATGACAATAAATGATGAAGAAATTGAAAATGTCACAAATTTTGAATATTAAGGCTCCATAATAAACAGCAATGGAAACTGTTTAACGGGAGTCAAAAGGAGCATGGCCATAGCAATGCAAAAATTAAACAGCAGTAAAAGTCTATGGTTAAGCGCCAGCAAAGAGATAAAAAAATTTGAGAGAATGCATCTTCCCTGTAGCAACATATGGATGTCAGTCGTGGACTATCTCAATGCTCAAGGAACAAAAAGAGGCTTTTGAGCTGAAATGCTATAGAAAGATTCTCAGAATACCAAGGACAAAGAAGAGAAGAAACACTGATGTTCTAAAAGATTTGTATATCAAGAAACATTGGCTAACAAACATCATCTTGTCTCGGAATTGAAATATTTTGGTCATAACAAGCACCATGGTGCATTGGAAAAAATAATAGCAGAAGGCATGGTACCAGGAAGGAGTGGCAGAGGTCGACCAACATGAAAATGGGCACAGGATAAATGTGACTCCATGAATATAAAATGAGGTGGGAGAACTGACAGAGACCAAGTTTCTTTCAGGCAGACCATGATTGGAGCAACGTTTTGCAAAGGGCCTGCGATATGGTAACTATGATCACAATACAGAAAGTTTTACTCACATTTTTAGAAAATCAAAAACTGAATAAACCAGAGAAGAAAATAAAAAAAATTTTTTGTCCCCATCTACAGAAGTGATCAGCTTTACTTTAATAAATCTGCCATGGACAAGACGTTTAAAATACTTTAACTTTTTCAGTACCAAGGAACTTATCATACATGTATAGATTTACACACAGAATCGTTTTCTTATCTTCGACTGTCCCAATCTTTCTTTTTATTTTATTTCATTTCCTCTAGCGTTCTGCTTTTCAGGGTCAGGCTTTGAAGTGGCACTGGGTGCGAGCTTTGGTATGTGCTCTACAGATGCTGGTATTCGGGGACTATGATATTCCATCAATCCATCATTTTCATTGGTGACCTTTTTATGGTTATTTTATGTCATTTTTTTTATGTTAAGCTATTCTGTCTAAATTAAATACCTGAACCTGTTTCATCCCAGGGTGCGATATTTTGACTTTTTAAGATTTCAAAATTTTAACTCCAAAGTATACCAACTTGAAAATAGAAATGATGAAGTTACTAGTGGGTGGGACACAAAGAGTTAAATATGAAATGATTGATAAAATATCGAAAAAATAATGTTCAAAGAACAAGTTCAGGTCACTTACAATCTCCTCCTCTTTTGTTCCCATCAAAATGAGTTTCATATTTGGTCGTAACTTCAGTACAGCTAGTACTGTCTCATCTGTAAGTTCATGTGCTTTAAAAAAAAAAAAAAGGGACTGATCTGTAAGGTTAGTTCAGTGTAAATGTAACTTATGAAAACTCATCATCCTTTATATTTATTAATGCACAAACACACATGAGAAACTAATTCTGTCAAATACAAATGAAGAAGCGAACTTCCTGAATATAGTGCACAGACATGTGGTCCATTAAAGCCTGGGAGTATTATTGGCTGCTTCTGGCCAATGTTCCAGTATATGGATTGGTCAATGATTTTGCTGCCCAGCTAATGAGTTAAGAGCTTGGTATCACACTATGAGTTGATTTCTTGTGAAATGCTTTCGATCTATGTCCGCTGAGCTTTGTTTTGCTGGTGGTCAGTTTGCATATCAACTGGTGATGTATCTTATTCAGAGTGTGCTGCTGACTGACCTACTTCCATCAACACAGGTAGACTATAATTCTAGTGGTAGACTGTTAAGGATAGCATCTTTGGGAGCTTCATTTACCATGTGTGCAAGCATGTAAACTCTGCTGGGACCAATTTGCTTACTAGTTTTCCAATTGGACGGTGAAGAGCATTTTGTAATGGTTTTTATGGACAAGGGAACTGAACAATTATAGGGCGACTTATCTGTAGTGAAGGTGAAACCCTGATATCAGACTATCAACAAATGAGGTACCAATCCTAAAAATGCCACCGTTGACTGGTTTCTGAGAGATAATGTCTTCAGTCTATGAAAAATCAATTGAAAATTTAATTAATATTGACAGATTTCAATTTAGGCATTCTCTGCTCTACATAGTCTTTGCTTACATGAGTATGATTATAAATATATACAAGAACTTATGATAGGAAATTATAAATTATAACATATATAAATCTTCTTCTTCTTCGCATTCACCAGCTGTAAACTCTGGCGGAAGGTTCTGGTTGCTTGTCCACTACTGAACTGCAGTCCTGCTCCAGAACCTGAGTGTTGCGTGTGCATCAGTTTTACAGATCTCATTCTCTTGAATACAGACTGTTGGTTCCTTGCCTTTCCGGCAGATGCACTCCGACATCAAAGGAAGCTCCCCAATTAGTCAACTCTTACGACATGCTTTTGGGGAGGCAGTGGGTCTATTCTTGTTTTCCCCACAATGGGACCCCGGAGCCGACACGGGGGACATATATAAATCATATCTACTCAGTCACAACAATGACATTTTAAACATAACACTTCAACTAAATACTAACAGCTGTACTCAAACAGATCAATAAAGAAATGTTTATACATGTGACTATGTATAACTGTGTAAATATATGTGCCTGCATGTGTAAGTTGAGCCCACAGTAAAAGCTTTCAAATATGGTTATGCATTATATTCTTCTTCTTACAGATCAGGCTTTTCTGTGTGCAGACTGTTGGTTCCTCGCCTCTCAGTCAGATGGACTCCAAACTCAAAGGAAACTTCCCTAACTAGTCGCCTCATACAACATGCCTGTTAGGGAGCGGTGGGTCTATTTATTTTTCCCCACAAAATGGTGCTCTGGAACCAGTACTTATATTTTTATCCAACTCGTTTTTCTGAAAAAAAGTTATACAGTTCTTCTTCTTCTTGTGATCGTTTCTGATTTACACCGACAGACATGTTCTTGACTGGTTTTTTTTTTAGCAGTTCCTTTTTAGTTCCATACAACTTTGAGTGCAGCGTTGACTCACTGGGCCAGTTTTCTCTTCTTAATGGGCTGAACAAGGGAGATTCTTGCAGGACATGTTCTGTAGTCTGCACACACAGCCCACAAGGGCACAAAGGTGAACGACTTAGACTTGTTAGTTTTTTATGTCCTGTCCTGAGGCATAGAATAATGACCTTCCCGTGCCGGTCAAGTAATTGGTAGTAATTTCTGGCCAGACTGTGTTCACTTCCGATAGATTGGATGGCCCTTTTCTTCTCAAAGTACGCTACTGCATTCTCTTCCTGTTCACATTCTGCCCCTTTCTTAGCAAGTTTATCTGTGGTTTCATGTCCTGGTATACCACAGTGGGATGGCACCCACTGGAGTACAGTATGCTTTTGGGCAACCACCTTGCCAAGTTCAGGTCTCAGGTGATGGAGTTTACACTCTTGAGGGCTTGTATTTTTTTCTGCATGATCATGCATATAAGGTTAGTTGCGTATCCTTTACAGGGTGTTGCAGAACCAACCCCAACAGCCCCTGACTGCTGTGTGGTTTTTCTAGGCAAATTTACGTCCAGTAGTTTGCCATTGCTTTCTGGACGGTCGGCTTTCTTGATACCACTATCGAAACCAACGCAAGGCACATGGCCCGCAGCTGCGATCGAACCGGCATTCCGGCATTACAAAGCGTTTGCATCGACTTAGCCACAGAGTCATGACGATCATGTATATACCAGAATAAATAAAAAAGAACCATTTAATTCAGATACACTTCATGGCTTGATATTGTTGTGTAATAATTAGCAGAAGACACGTTTCAGTCAAGAGGGCTGAACTGAATATAGGGCACTCATGACCAGTTGGGTGTGACTGTTGAACCTGCAGTTATATAGGCATACACTGCTACAATCCATTGATTGAAGTCATCACCTGTATTGTGTCGCCGACTCACTCCCAAGGTACAGAGTTTTGGGTAGGTTTCAGCAGTGTTGATCTGCTTGATACTGTCTTCATAGTCTTGCCCCTGATGGACAAAGCTGTTATGTTTGAGATGCTCCAATGCCAGATCACCTAACCTTGCATATAATTAAACTTCTCCATCTGGATCATAGTTTTAGTTAGTGTCTTCTATCGGACAATGTCTGCATTGGAGTTATTTTCTGCATCTCCAAGATTGGTGCAGTTTTAATGGATCCGGTGATGAGTCTAAGGCCGGGCTTCAACTGGCGGCCAGCGGGCTAAATCTGGTCCGCTGAGGTCAAGGAAATGGCCCGTGGATCATTGTCAGTTATTTTGTACTAATGATATTTCTATGCTGGAGATTGAACCAATAACCCCATTTTTAGAATTGTGGTCCCTGAGTAAACTGAGGTGAATAGCCCTGGTCTAAGGGCTTGATTCCACACTCTGTCTAACAACTGAAGCTTTTACACCAAACTCCAAGTGGAGTCTTATTGCTTCATTATCCATTATAAAGTTTCTTTAGGGTTTTTTCACTGGCTACCTGCCAGTTTTCTAAGTAGCCCTAGTCATCTCCTGGTCGTCACTTATACATTTTCTAAATGTTTGCTCCATGTGAGCCTCATGAAATGTCACTCCAAGATAAGTGGGGAAGCTTTCTTCCTTTAGCAAGGGTGCTCCTAGGTGAATACTAGCAGTTTTGTCCCTGGGGGAAAGAGAGAAAAGCGCTGTGGATGTTTTGTCTGTGTTGATGGCCACATGTCACTTTTCTGCCCATGTCATTAAAAGATCTGCTACTAGCTGCATTCTTATATTTGCCACTGTGGTGTGTTTATCAGTACACACGTGTGCCAAATCTCGACATACAGGGCAGCCTTCACTCCTGTAGGGAGGTTTTTCACCAAGTCATTGATATAAACAAGAAAGAGTGTTGGAGAAATAACTCCTCCCTGTGATACTCCTTGATGAAGCAACACTTTTCTGCTCTGCAGGCCAACGAGAGTAACTCTTGTTCTATTGTGTAAGAAGGATTGGATCAATGTCAGCATGTTTCCTTGGATTCCATTTCTCTACAGTTTTGCAAAGAGACCATCTTTCCCCACTTTGTCAAAAGCTTGTTTAAAGTCAACCTACACTGTCAGGACCTTTATCTTCTTTTGGGAGGCATCTTCTCCAGCTTGTGACAGATAGGTGACTTGGTCTTCTAAGTTGTGACATTCTCTAATTCAGCCTTCTCTGACACCAAGATCTGCTCAGATTCTAAGTGCCATTTCAGTCTTGAATTTATAATTCTATCCAGTGTCTCTACACAGCTTCTGAGATGAACTGGTTGTTAGCTCAAAGTCTGGGTCTTAATTTTTAATTTTTTCCTTGTTCTTTTTCGTATGGGTACTGTGATGGCTTCTCTTCTACTTGAGACACCAATCCTTTCTTCCAGCTGGTGCAAAATATTTCCAGCAGCTTTACTTAAGCAGCTGAGCACAACTGATCAGTATTTCTTTGCTGATTTCTTCTGGACCTGCAGATGTTTTAACTTAAGCCTGGAAATGGTATTTTGTAGTTCACCCTTAGTGAAGGGCTCCTTCACAGAGGCAGAGGTATCTCTTATTTGTTTGTATTTATTTCCTTATTTCTCTCTGGTGGTACTCATTAAGGGTCAGGTTGCTTTCAACACTGTATGTTCTGGCAAACAAATCTGCAGCTTGTTTTCCTCTGAAGATTTTTTCACCTTCACTCAGTGTGATTGTCTAGGAGAGAAACTCACTTCGTTCAGTGATTTGGCTCATCTCCAGAGTTTCTTGCCATCTTTATCAAGGTTTAAAGCTGCTGTTTTATTTCTCCAGGTTAAGTTTTTCTTCAAGTTTAGTTCTCTGGAATATTGCTACAGCTTTTCTCCATTTGGTGTGGTTGTCAGGTGAAGGTTGGGATTCTGCACCCTTTCTAGCTTGGTTCATGGTTTCCTGACATTCCTGGAGTGCGCTGGACCAGTAAGGTCTGAGGTTGTGTCGACAACCTCAGGGGATTGCCTCTTTTGCAGCTTGAAGAATACTTCTTTGAAATCATAGACTAACTGGTCTCAGAATCGTCACTGGAGGTATGAGAAGCACACCAATCCATGAGCTAGCGGCAACTTCTGGCCTCCAGAACTTGAGCCTTTGAAGGGAAGAAAAGTGCTTATCCTAACAAAAAATTTTTTTATCCTAACAAAAAAATTTAAACGCATGAACAACAACCCCATGCAAAGAATAGCAAATAACAACAAAATAACTGACTGAAAAGCCAAAGCTTTCACCATCTATCAAAACTGTACTCTACAAAAATAGTGAAATTCTTTCTAAAGATCCTTCAACATGGGAAATGATCCAGGCATACAGCATAGACCTACAGCCTAACTATACAGTCATAACAACAATTCCAGGCACAGACAGAAAGGTTGAAGAATGTGACCTAGTACTTGACTCCATCTGGTAATCTGGTAATCCTAGTTTCAGCTTCATAGCAAACTAACTTGACTCCATGCAAAGACCCTTGAACATGTCCAAAACCCCATTGGACACACGTATATACCGATGGATCATTATACACAGATGGATCATTAGATGGATTAAAAAACAGAGGAGCTGGATCGGTCAACATGCTGCAAGATGGGACCACAGTAGAAATGTCATGCGCCTACAGAAAACTCTCAGCAAACTTCAGAGCAGAACAGCAAGCAATTATTGATTCAGCCAAAGTGCTTGAGGAAAGAAAAATTAAAAACAGCAAAACTTGTTTTCCTTTGTGACAGCATGTCAGTCCTCCAGGCGACACAGAGGGATCCACAAGACAACATGGAGAGAGAACTGACCCACCATCTAAACAGACTTGCAGAAAACAATCAAATCGTTCTCCAGTGGATCCCAGCTCACTGCGGCACACCAGGAAATGAGTTAGCAGACAGTGCTAAAAATGGAACAAAGGAGAAACAACACACCCATCCATTGTCATTATCAGAAATCAAAACACTTATCAAGGGAAAATACAAGAGAACAAACTAACAGTAAACATCCACAAGACCCATCAGCAGACTCAACAGAAAGCAACATATCCCAGTTTTCTGTCTAAAACTGGACACTGCAGACTCAACTACCACATGCCTAAAATAAAATAATACAGTCCTCAGTGTGCCTGTCAAACAGGACCACAAACACCTGAGCATATTCTGCAGACCTGCCCACTCTACCTACAACTTGTAAAAGACACCTGGCCTTAAAAGCAAAGTGTGCAAAGCAAGCTAAAGGGAAACATGAAGGACCTACTACTGACATGAGAGTTCATAGAGGCAACCCACCTGAAAATCTGATCTGAGCACATGAACCAAATGCAAAGAAGAAGGAGAAATCATGCACTAAGCATTAATATCCCTATTTTGAAGCTTGAGAGCAGACAACAATTAATTGCCCTGTGTACAGGCCCCAGCTGGCTTTTTTTGTTTAGTTCCATCTTGTGATGACCAGGCCTGTATTAACTGCTCGATATTTTATTTACTTGTTCAAAATAATCTAAGGTAACCGCTCATGCCCGATTTGTGATTCAGTGATATGTATTTCATGGAGTAAAATTATTAAATAAGCTCCTTTGTGATTCGCTTTGGATTTATGTTGTGTTTTCATGGAGCAGAATTTCATAAGGTAAGAGGAAAAATAACATTAGATTTTATTAACATATCTAGGTCCCACGTGATCTGTTTGCTGGCTAGTATATATAGAAAATAATTATTAAATATTATTAATCATAAGTTCTAAGTAGCCCTAGCTGTAAGTAAGTAAACTTATGCACAGTTAAACAAATTATAAAATATTATTATTAATCATCAACTTTCTAAATAAGCATCTCTAAGTCAATACTACAATTTTAATACTATCAGTCATAAATAGTAACTGTTATACTATCTAAGACAATAAAAATGCACCACAAAATCATAGTGCAGAAATATGTGGCAGACATTTTTTTAAATGTCAGTCTGGGAGTGGAGAGTAGCGGTCAGCAGGTAAAAAGGCCTCAAACAGGCAAGGTCCTTCATGCCCAATGATAAGTTATGGCTTAAAAAATGCTATAATGGCTAAAGATTCCAAAAATGATTGAATAACTAATTTAATGTGATTTAAAAGTACATTAAAAAATGTTCAAACCAATGACTGTGTCCATCTTCAACGCTCAAAATACCCTAGCCAAAAGGTCAATGTCAAAAACGTGCTAAAAATTATTTTCAGCTAATTAAAACTATTAAAACTGATGTCAAATGAAAGTTAAAGAAAGGTAAATGATTAATAGAAATAAAACTTGCATTATTTTTTAACTTTTTTTAAAAATAAATAACTAGATATTTATCAAACCGAGTTTAGACCACGTGGCAGCCATTTTGAAAAATCTCAGATTTAGCTCTCAAGACATGATCGGAAACAAATTCAAACTTTTAACTTCGCCCTGTACAGATTCCAACAAAACTGCCCAACTTTTTGTAAAAATGGACACAGAATCCAAAAATGTCAATTTAGAGTATTTAATTTTACCTAAAACAGGAGATATTAAAGAAATTTACTGCCCGCATGGCAAATAGTGAAATTTATTTGACTGAACAAAGATCGCTATGTAAGTTAGGTGTCGTTTGGTAGAGCGACCTCTTCTGAATAACTTTGAGCCCACGTATTCGATTCAGAACAGCCAGTGTTGAGCGACGGGTTTTCAAAGTAAATGATACGCAAAGGAGCCATTTTTCGTGGACCACCGACTCCATCTTGTAACTAAGCGATCTCTACTTTCGTTTTAAATTGGGTCACTTGGTAAATCAGCATAGCTAATAATATGTGGCCGTTATTCGAAGGATAGCTAGAAATGTTTAAGGAGCTTGAACATAACAGCAATAAAGTCCTCTTATTGTCATTCCTGTGACTCTGACTGATGTTGCCTTTTGAAAATATTATTCTTTTCTTCTTCTGCCATTTCTCCTCTGAATTAATTAGCGCCATGTCCAGAACATCTCTGGTCTCCCATGCCCTAGACTATATTCACTTCACTGTAATTCTCTTCTCTGTATTTTTATTGGATATTGTGGGGGGAGGGGGGGAAGGCGTGGTGAGGTCCTCCCTTTGTTTCTTTGTCCCTGTGAGCTGCAGAGCAAAGAAATTCTACTTAAATAAATGTATAATATCAAGCTTTATTATTATTAGTGTGTGCACTGTAAGTTAAGTGTGTCCTATCCAGTGTCAACGTCTTTTCCTCATCTGTTAATTAACCAGTGTTTGTTTAGTTCTGTCTCAAAGACATCATAAACGATTGTGTCATTCATACCATTTAATTTTCTACACACATTGTTTATAACATGGTTTTTATTTATTTGCTCTACAAAGTTAACTCTGCTAGCCTAGACTACTTTCACAAATTGTCCGGAAACTGTGACACAATATCCCTGCTTACGCTGCCGTGCAGACCACAAGCCAATGTGTACAGAGGGAAGATAAATTATCAGTTCTGTCCAGCACTAGATGTTCTATAGCTTGCATAATTTGTTTCAGTTAGAGGCAATTCCACATCTTTTTTTTTTTAGTTTTACAAAACAAAAATAATGCCAAATAATGAAAATAAAAAATGTTTTTATTTATAAATGTGACTAATGAAGGTATTTAAGTATTTACGTTTCATTTTCAATCCAAGCAGCTTTTGACGGTTGGGTTGCACTGAAGTTACTCTATAGACAGCTTCTTTAAGGTCTTTTACGGTGTCTGTAGATAACAAGCCAGTTATTTTAAACTCGTCTTTCGCAAACTTGATAATCAAATCTCCCACTTCGTCCGCCATATTATTTATGTATCAGGCGGACTCAGTTAACGCGAGTACGATACGCCTACAGTTAGTGTTGATTACATTGGGACGATTACAATATTAAAACCGATATTGATTTCATTATCATCATCCTACTGTGCCAATGCGTCATTTAGAGCTCGCAGTCTAATCCTCCTTTCATTTCTATTCTGTTGCATACAGCCCAGCGCCTTTGGCCTCTCTCATCAGCGTTAGTCCTAGGGTTTCTCTTAGGCGTCCTTGTTTCCTCAGTCTGTTTCACATGTCGGTATTTGTTAGGTGATTCTCTGTCCACTTCTTAAAATGTTAGATCAGTTGTTCTCAACCTTCCTAATGCGGCGACCCTTTATTACAGTTCCTCGTGTTGTGGCGACACCCCCCCCCCCCCCAACCATACAATTATTTTCGTTGCTGCTTCATAACTTCAATGAATATTTGTTTTTAGATGGTCTTAGACTTTCGAAAGGGTCGCGACCCCCAAGTTGAGAACCACTAGGTTAGAGAGTGACTTCAGTCAAAGTAATAGAATCGTACCCAACTGTATCAATAGTCAGAAGTATTATCTTTGGACAAGTACACAGGTTTTGGTATCTAGGCACGTGGATAATAACATCAGATGGAAGTAAAGAACATTAAAAAAAACAGGCAAAAACTGCGTTTTAATGAAATGAGGATTATCTTATGCCACAAGTCCTAGTCATTAAATAAATATTTCTCCCTGTGAGTTCCAGAGTCCCATTGTGACAGGGTGGGGGAGATAACAAACCCACTGCTCTCTAACAAGCAGTAAGAGTCTACTAATTAGGAACCTTTCCTTTGAAGATGAACCTGAGAGGCTAGGACCCAACAATCTGCAGAAAAGTAAGCCAGATTTGCTAAATGGATGTGCACACAAGTCAAATTCTGGAACAAGACTAGAGTCGAGAAGTGGATGAGCAACCAGAACTTTCCGCCCGAGTTTACAGCCGGTAAACAATTAAGAAAAAGTAGAAGGAGGAGAAGAGAAAAAAATAGAAGAAGAAGAAGAAGAAGAAGAAGAAGAAGAAGAAGAAGAAGAAGAAAAGAAGAAGAAGAAGAAGAAGGAGAAGAAGAAGAAGAAGAAGAAAAAGAAGAAGCACAAGAAATGAGGAGCAGAAGAAAGAAAGAAAGAAAGAAAGAAAGAAAGAAAGAAAGAAAGAAAGAAAGAAAGAAAGAAAGAAAGAAAGAAAGAAAGAAAGAAAGAAAGAAAGAAAGAAAGAAAGAAAGAAAGAAAGTTAGTTAGTTAGTTAGTTAGTTAGTTAGTTAGTTAGTTGGGTTATCCTCATTGCACTCCGGACATGTCCATAGGTGCTCAGATCCTCCCCTCAGTATGAACCCCAACGTCCGATGGCTAATAGTACCAGTTCTATGTTGATTCACAAGTCTTCTGGCGTGTCTGGTGTGCGTCTCGTTTTTTGCTGTGCCGATCTTAATTCCCAAGTCTGCCATTCTGGCGAGTGATGTGGATTCACTGCCACCAAAGTCCTCTATCCTTCCCATTTCTCTGAGGGCATTGATAATATCAGCTTGATCCATAGGCTGACCGTCGGTAGTGATAGCTGATCCAACCTGTCAGCTCTTTCATTTCCATCGACGCCTGCGTGTCCCGGAACAAAAATAAAGGTGACTCCACGCACAGTGGACTTCTGTAATGATTCAAGCCATTGTCTTCGCACTGAACCTGCCTGAACCCTCCGGATCATACTCATTGAATCACTGAGTATACATACATGGGTGTATTTTTGTGTTTCAAGCCAGGCAAACGCTTGCGTCACTGCCATCGCCTCCATCGTCATGCTGCTGGTTGTCATGGAGAAGGCGCCGTTGGCTTCTTTGACTGTTCTGCCCGCTGAGCGTGCTGTAAATGCCCATGCGCTTCTTCTTTGGCGTATAACGGATCCGTCTGTATAGATTATTGCATCTGCTTCGTCTGAATTTTCCCCGTGAGAGCGTTGACCTCTGCATTAACAGCAACAGGATTCTCTTCTCTACATCGCCTGTTGAGTGTGACAATACAGGAAAATGTACAAATAAACGCCTGGGGCACAGGTATCCATTATGCACCAGGTATGATGTCGGTTAGGCTGCATATTGGCCTAATAACATTTTCTGCCCGACCTAGCCACTATTTCCCCCTCTTCAGTCTGTCGCCCCTTTCAATAAAAAGCGCTTGATGCAGTGGGTGTTTCTTATCAGCACGTATTTTGAGATATGCCCGAGCCCTCCACATCCTGATCTTTTGGTTCATTGTTGGAAAGTCAAGTAGATACCTCATTGCTCCACAGGATGTGTCTCTTGTACATCCCAAAATAATGCGCATGGCTTCATTTTGCACCTTTTCGAGTCGCTGAATCTGGGTAGCACTGACAGTGGGGATGGCCAGCGCGTATTCAATGGGGGAAAGGACCAGACCGTAGAATAGAAGTATTAGTAGTCTTTGCTCAATATTGGAAGCAGCCATAATCCTCATTGCAGATAGACTTTTGCGTGCTTTTGTTATCACATGGTCAACGTGTTCCCTGAATGACAAGCTGCGATCGAACCTCACCCCGAGAAACGTCATAACGTTGGTTCTGATCAATACATTATCACGCATTTTCACTTCTGGTAAGTCCGACTTGACAATGTGATTGTTCAAAGGGAACCATGACACTGATGCCTTCGAAGGATTGACATAGGCATTGGAACCATCACACCAGGCGGCAATTCGATCAAATTCTTTGTGCATAGTGATGGCGATCTCCTGTCTATCACGCCCTCGTCGATCTACGGGTTGTTTTGAATTGGTAAATAGTCGGCATCGGACGTCGAATACACCCTGAGGGAAGTCTAAACTCACGTGCATGTACTCCATTGCACGGTTCAGACCCCATTAAAAAAGAAAGAAAGAAAGAAAGAAAGAAAAGAAAGAAAGAAAGAAAAAGAAAGAAAGAAAGAAAAAAGAAAGAAAGAAAGAAAGAAAGAAGAAAGAAAAGAAAGAAAGAAAGAAAGAAAGAAAGAAAGAAAGAAAGAAAGAAAGAAAATAGAAAGAAAAAAGAAAGAAAGAAAGAAAGAAAGAAGGAAAAAGAAAGAAAGAAAGAAAGAAAGAAAAAAAAAGAAAGAAAGAAAGAAAGAAAGAAAGAAAGAAAGAAAGAAAGAAAGAAAGAAAGAAAGAAAGAAAGAAAGAAAGAAAGAAAGAAAGAAATAAGCAGAAGCATAAGAAAAAAAAAGCAGAAGAAAGAAGACGCTGAAGAAAGAATATGCAGAAGAAATAAGCAGCAGAGGAAAGAAGAAGCAGAAGAAAAAAGAAGCAGAAGAAAGAAGTAGCAGAAGAAAGACAAAGCAGAGGAAAGAAGAAGCATAGGAGAGAAAAAGCAGAAGAAAGGAGAAGCAGAAGAAAGAAATAGCAGAAGAAAGACAAAGCAGAGGAAAGAAGAAACATGGATGAGCAACCAGAAGTCTCCGCCCGAGTTTACTGCAAAAAAGAAGAAGAAGAAGAAGGG